AAATGAAATATTATAGAAGCCATTGTTCATTTCCTGTTATTTGGCTTTGAACTCCTGTAATGCTTTCATTCTCTTGAACTATAAAATAGTTTTATACTATTTTGTTATGTTTGATATTATTGTGTGTGAAGGTATGCTCAACTATTTCAAAGAAAAGAGACATTATGGTAGCTACTGTTGATATCTGGTTGTCTTGTTGTGTAGTTCTGTGTTGCTTGCATTGTTCTGTTCTGATTTACTTTGTTCTGTTCTCTTTTGTTTTATTCTCTTTGTAATAAAAAATTTAAAAAATATTTAACATTTGCAAAGGAATTCTAACACTGACTTTTTCATGAATTGTAGAAAAAATATATTGCTAATATATTATTGGGTATATTTAAGAATTATATTCAGGGGCTGGGGGTTTAGCTCAGCGGCATAAGCATCTGCCTTGAAAGCAGGCAGTCGTGAGTTCGATCCCCGGTACCGGTAAAAAGGAAAAAGACAAAAAAAAAAAAAAAAAAAAAAAGAATTATATTCAGTGCCACTTTGGATATGAAGTGAAGCTTTCTGGAAGAGAAACCAAATAGAGACTTGGCAAGTCATTTGCCAATATCTCCATGATGGATATAAACCTTAGTTTCCATATGCAGGTGCATGAAGAATGTAACTCTTTATGGTCCCATAAACATCTCCCAGTATGGTCTCTGTGGCACTGCAAATCCCTCTGAGATTTAGGTTTCATATTGGGATACAACAGAGTAGTGATTCTCCAAATATATGAGCCATCAGCATCACTAAAAACCTGTTAATATGCAGTCCGTCAAATCTGCTGAACTAGGAACTCCGGGGATCAGGCCTAGAATCTGTGTCATAGCAAGCTCTCTAGGTAATTCTGATGTGTGTTCAATTCTGGGAATAACTTTATGGTGTTAATCGCAAGTAGGTGCAGACATCAGCTGAGACGTGGTCTTGTGCTGATCCATGCACAGCAAGCTATGTTCTTCATTCTTGAAGTCAGTTGGGTATTTTGTCTTTCAGGTGACTTTTGTGTCATTTATAGGTGCTGTGTGCAGGGTGAGCACATTTATTTTATATCAGAGTGAATCATGGAAAATTCTGTGGTGTTATCTAAACTCAGGCAACTTAGGGACTCTCTTTCATACTGTATTGCCATTTTTCTGTTACTTTAAGGCATGGGAAAGTCATATGCCATGTGACCATTTCTCTCATGGGGTCTTGTTCTCTTCCTAGTCTCAGCCTAAAAGTGGGGGGCCCAAGTCTTCTCTTCTCTGATTTCCCTAAACGTAACTGAACTTTCTATTCTCCCTTTGGCTTTTGGATGGGGGAGGTTGATAATTTTTCACAGCACCCTCCTAAGTGTGAGCATGTTTCAATGCAGTCAAAGACACCCTGGCAAAGGAAAGATCACAAACAATAACTCTTCTCTTACTGACGAGTCAATCACATTATTTTAAATTACCAATTGAAAAAACATCATCACGACTGTAAGACATCTTTTAAGGAATTTATCTATATATGTGCCAAATATCTTTCAGGGAGTTCTTAGAAACCCACAGTTTGGGATGTCTTAAGCTATATCCTCCATTATGACCCAATTTCTTTCATTAACTACTGAAAATGTGTTCATGAACCATGAGCTGTGGTTTTGATGTGACCTTTGTTATTTTTATATTAAATCTGTGGACTTGGAACAAATCAACTTAAAACAAATCAAGTATTGTATCTGACACGAAAGGCATGATAAACACAAATGCAAGTGAATGGTTTAAAACAGTTTAAAAATTTAAATTAACATAATTATGCATATTTATGATACTTAGAAGTACATGCATACAATGTATAGTGAGCATATCAGGGTAAATGGTAATCCATAACCTCAAACATTTATCATTTCCTGGTGTTGGGAACATTCAAAATCCTATTAGCTGTTTTGAAATATGCAATTAATTGCTAGTGACCATAGTTTCCCATGTGCAGTAGAAGTTATTCCTTCTGACTGCTGTTCCCTGTCCCCATTAATGGTTCTGTTTCTATCTTCTCTGCTTCTTTGTATTCTTTCTCACCTCTGGTAGTCACTATTTTGCCTTATACTTCTCTGTGGTTAAAATTTTCAGCTTCCACACATAAGTGAGAGCATACAGTATTTTTCTGTGTACATTCATTTTACTTAATATAATGGCATGTAGGCTTATTCATGTTGCTGCAAAGACAGGATTTCATTTTTATAAGTGAATAATAGTCTACTGTGTATACACACCATATTTTCTTTATTCACTGGCCCATTGATGGACACTTAAGTTGTTTCTGTACCTTAACTTTTGTGAATACTGCTGCAATAAACACGGGATTGCAGGAATCTCTTCAATATAATGATTTTTGATATATATCCATTGGTGGGTTTGTTAGATAATATAGTAGTTCTATTTCTAGCTTTTTGAGGAACTGCCACACTGTTTTGATAATGACTGTACTAATTTACCTTTCTCTAGCAATATAAAAAAGTTTCCATTTCTTCATATCTGCCAGAATTTTTCTTTTCATGTGGCCTTTTGAACTGGGATGAGATGATATCTCATTATAGTTTTGACTTCCATTTTCCTCATTCTCTGTGACATTGAGTATTGTTTCCAAACAGTTCTTGAACATTTGCATATCTTCTTTGGAGAAATATCCAGAATACTTGAAAAATTTAATTAGATTATTTAGTGGTATTTTTGTTGTTGAGAGGACTATATTACATATCCTGGATGTTAGTTATTTGTCAGATGACTAATTTGTAAATATTTTCTTCCATTGTATAAGTTGGCTAATAACTCAGGTGTTTTCTTTGCTATGTAAAAATGTTTTTGTTTGATGTAATCTCATTTGTCAATTGTTGGCTGTAGATGTATGGATTTATCTCTGGATTTTCTATTCTGTTGCATTGGTCTATGTGTCTAGGTTTATGCCAATACCATATTGTTTTGGTTACTATAACTTTGTGGTATTTTTGAGGTTAGGTATTTTAATGGCTCCAGCTTCGTTCTTTTTAGTTAGGATTGCTCTGGATACTGAAGGGTTTTTGTGGTTTCATACAGATGTTGGACTTTTTTTCTAATCCTGTGAGGTAGGCCTTTGGTTTTTGGAAGGAAATGCTTTGAATCTGTAGATTGCATTGATTAATACAACAAGTTTATAAAAGTTAATTGTTTTAATCTATAAACATAGAGTATCTTTCCATTTTTGTATTCTCTTTGTTTCTTCCATTATTGTTTTTATAGTTTGAATTGTAGAATTCTTTTTCTTGGCTAAATTTATTAATAGTGTTTTTTTTGGTAATTATTGTGAGAGGAATGCTTTCTTGATTTCTTTTTCAGCTATTTCATTTTTAGTGTATAGAAATGCTATGGAGTCTTGTATGTTGATCTTATATCCTGCAATTAGACTGAGTTTATCTGTTCTAACAGTTTTGAGGGGGTAAAGTCTTTAGATGTTTCTATGTATAAGATCTTGTCATTTGAGAACATGAATAGACTCCTCCTCTTCCATTTTGAATGTTTTTTATTTCTTTCTTTTGCCTAATTACTGTCACTAAGACTTCCGGTACTATGTTACATAACAGTGGTGGAAGTGGGCATTTTTGTCTTGTTTTAGAATTTATATGAAACACTTTCAACTTTTCTTTGTTCAATATAATATTTGTGTGGGTTTGTTTGTGTATGGGTTTAATTGCATTGAGGCATGTTCCTTCTATATCTTATGTGCTGAGAATATTTATCATGAAAAGATGTTGAATTTTATTAAATGCTTTTTCTGTGTTTTTTGAGATGATCTTTTTGTTTTTCACTGATTTGATATGATGTATCACATGTATTTTATTTTGCAGTATTGAACTGAGGGTTTTCACACTGGGCTATATACCCATATGCAGGCCTTTTATTTTTCATTTTGAGACAGAGTCTTGCTGAGTCACTGAGTTGCCCAGGTGAGGGTTGAAGCTTTTTACTGTATCTGGGGTCTTTTTTGTTAGAATTTATTATTTAATTTTATTACTCATTATTAATTTGTTTAGGTTTTCTATTTCTTTATGGATCAATTGTAGTAAGTTATACATTCAGGAATTTGTACACTTCCTCTAGGTTTTATGATTTATTGGCATTTAGTTATTCAAAATATTCTTTAATGATCCTTTATTTCAGTGGTATCAGTTGTAATAAGGTCTCTTTTTCCACCCCCAATTTTACTCATTTGAGTATTTTTACTTTCTTCTTATAGCTGAAAGCTATACTAAGGTGGTATATGTGGTCTTCTTACAATGTCTTCTTTTTCATCTATTTTTAGTGTCTCTCTATCTCTTTCTCTTTGATTAGTCTAGTTAAAAGTTGGTTGACTTTATTTTTCTGAAAAGACAGATCTTTGTTTCATAAAACCTTTGCTGTATTGTTTCATTTGTTTCTACTCTGGTCTTTTTCCTCCCCTTTTCTAAATTTGAGTTTGGTTTCTTTTTAATTGAGTACTTGAGATACTTGCAGTGTATCATCCCGCTCATTTTTTCTTTGCTGTGGTCCTGTTTTATAGAGCGAATGAGTGATAGACAACTCTGATCATATTTTAAATTTCACTTTGAATGAAATTCTGTGTTTAGTTTTGGACTGATCTGTATGATTAATAATGTTTTGTGGTGAATTAAAATTATCCTTGGAATGAAACCTGAAATTTGAAGATACATAATAAATATTTTGTTGATTTCTGAGAATTATTTCTCAGAACACTAGGGATGCTTAAGTTCTTGGAACACCAGGGATGAATGTAAGTTTATTTGAATCTATGGGGTTAGTAGTTTTACTTTTAGGATGTATGTTTTTGGCTCTCTACCACCCCTGTCCCAGTATTCCTGTTTATATGAGATGTATTTGTATATTTTTTCAGAGAAAGCGAGACAGAGATAGACACATTTATAGACATAGACAAAGACAAAGCACGGATACAGACACAGAGAGAGAGAGAGAGAGAGAGACTGGGAAAGAAAGATTACACTGGATTCCAGGAGACTGATTGCCCTTGATTTTTATGACAAGCTGGATGTCATCAATTCTTGTAAATATATAGCTTGTAATCACTATTTTGGAGGGAAAATTTGTACCAATACATTTTTAGTCTTGCTTGTAATCCATAGTAATTTAGACTGGTCAGAATCATGCCTACTTTTGATAGATGTTCAAAATAAATTGTCTTCTGTAGCTCTGAAACCTTATGATATACCCACGCAGCACTAGTTCACTAAAGAACTTCAAAATACAACCCCAGCTCTGGCTATTTTAAGGCATCAGTGTACCCATAGTGTACTCTTTATTCTCCAGATACCTTTCTACAGCGAATGATGGTAGCATTGAATAAAAATGTGCTGAAATGTAGGAGAAAAATTAATTCATTGCAGACCAAGTTCTGTTCTCTAAACTATGAATTGTTGGAGAGCCATCTCAAACTGCCTGCAGGCTACACTGTTACTCAGCCAAGATGATTAAGAATAATTTTGGTCAAAATAGTGTCGTGCCTGGGCAAACAACCAATGTGAAGTCTCAACCAAAGACAATTAAGTGGAGATTCATTTTATGATAGACGAATAACTCGTGATATTCAACATTATTCAGATAAATCAGTGGCATCACAATGTCCCTAGTGTGTCAGACTATTCTAGAATTTATTTGCCATATTTCTTCACACGTTAGAGTTGCTCTTTGATTCTGGCACATCATTCTCTCTGGTAATGGTTTCAAATCAGCTGGTCTGATTCATGGCTGCACAGAGAAGGGTTTCTTAGGAGCTGGTAGGATGATTGTTTAAAAAAAAACGAGAGACAGATGGTAGACTTATTTTTCTGGCTCCTCTGCTTTTTCAGGGAATAATTATGTATCCAAAGTGAGTGGCATCAGAAGCTGAATCCTACTGAAATTTCTCTCATGTATTTTCTTATTGAGAACCTAAGATTTAATAGTAGGGATGGCAAAGTCCAGAAGCAAGCCCTGAGGATATGGTTACAATGTGCCGTGGGCCTGGAGTAGATCTGAGGCCAGATCTACAACCCTTTCTCTTTTCTTCCCCATAATCATTGTACTGGTCAGCTTTCCCATTTCTAGGACAGAATGCCTGACATATATAATTTGAAGGAGGAAATGGTTTATTTTGCTCACAGTCTCAGAGGATTCAGTCCATGGCTGGCTGGCATCAAGGTAGAAACATCATAGACGAAAGGTAGGAGAGCAAACTGGTCACTTTATGGAGGCCCTGAAGCAGAATACAGGGAAAGAGTGCCAGACGGGAAGTTGCCAGAGATGAGATATGATCTCCAAGGTTGTGCTCTCATGACCTAGCTAGACACAATCAAAAGTCTGCTTTACTTTCAAGCCAATAAAGTGGACACTCAAGAGTAACTAGCAGAGTTAACTATCCTTGATTTCGTCTCTGGTTCTGGGACCTGATTTTGAGATTGTGTGCCTCACCACAACCCTGTTAATCAGTCATTTAATGATCATTATCATGAGGGAATTGTATAACATGGGTGTTTCAAAAAAGAAGTAGTTACCAGATGGTCAACACCTGTCAGTTTTGTGAGGGAGCAGACCTCAGATATGGGAACTTGAGGTAATTATTCTCCTTATTTTATTGTGGCAAAAATTAGCCTTTTGGGCCCTTTTGTTTTCTTTATCTCATCCACGTAAGTGCCCAGTCTACTGTGTTTTATATCTGTCCTTGGTTATGTATAACTTCATGTAAAATATGATGTTCTTTTGTATCTGTGTAGTTTATATAAATAGTATTATTTTATAAATCTTGTTTTGTTTCTTACAAGTTTCAGTGTGTAGCTCTATTTTAGTGTTTTTGATGAAGCAGAGATTTCCACGGAGGTAACACAGCATTTGCTCCGCTTCCTAGCATGGATTCACTTCTGAACTCCCTGATCCTACGGAATCTGTGGTGCTAGGATGCCCATGGCTGTGGAGCAGAGTGAGAGTGTGAGGTCAGCTTCCAGATCACGAAGCCTGGTAAGAGTGCAATGTAGGAGACACAGGCTGAACCAGTTTACACTCTTACTAAATCCTTCTTTTACATTCTTGCTATGTTTTTGGTATTTCCTATCTGCCTAGTTTGTGGGTCCAGTGGTGTCAATTTTTATGTTATTGATTACTCACGAGGTGGGGAATCTTCATATTCTTGTTAGCAATTTGAGCTTCTCTTGCAGTAAACATTCTATTCTGGATGGCATTTTATGTCTTTTTCCTTATTTATTTCAAAATCTACTACACATTCCTGATATTAATTCTGTGACTTTCCAGATATGGCAAGATACTTTTCTTCTTAATCTGGGTATGGTTTGCTATTTTGTTCAGGACTTTCGCTGTGAATGACAGTAAAGTTTGGTAAGAGAGGCTTTATTCCTTTCCTGTGGAAAATTCCACAAGGACCTTTAATTTTCTAATTTATCCCCATGTCTGTGTGTTATATTAAGTAAATGTATCCACCAGATGTCATCTGAAGCCCTCCTTTCTGAGCTTGGTGAACTTCTTTGAAAACTTTTTCCCCCACTTCTTTGAAACAGAGTGATTCCCAGAATCCTATGACATGTAGGGCAATTATTACTAGTATCTGAACATCCCTTTTCATTTGCTCTAACAAGAACTTTGTCTACATCATGTATTTGCCTATAACTTGACTATCCAAAGTTAAGACTGGTACAGCACATCTTGAAACATGAGGGCTTCTGTCATCTTGTTTGTCTACTCCTCTTCTCTCCCAACCTGCTGCTGTAAATTCTCCTATCAGACCAAGCAACTTGGCACTGCCCAAACCTGATGACTCCCAACTGCTTAGCCAAAAAACACTCCCCCAAAACTCACAGTGCCCCTCTCATTAGGGTGATGCATCTAGTAGCCAACTGGATTATAAACATGCCATGAAAAGAGACATTACTGTTTATATTGCAACACTAGTTGGGTAGTTTTAGAATAGGAACAACTCAATGAGAGAATAGGTGTCTCAGCTTGTGAAAATATGTGTTTTTTACATTAGGATAGCTAGGACTTTCAGGAAGGACAGTGGCAAACATTTCAAAGAAGCATTTGCATTAGTCTTTTTTCAGGGGATAAGGCTTTACCCAGCTCTTACTAGTGCATATTGTAAAAAGAACTTGGACACGGGTCTTGAAAACTCATGGATTCTGACACTTGTCAACTGTAGGGTGCTGGAGAAATTGCATACTTACACTGTGCCTTGATTGTCCTTTTATCAAATATGTGTAAATAGGCTGACACTATTTTCTAATTTTCTGGGATGATTATAGGTAACTGAATGGATCTTGCATGATTCATGATTCCTGGCATGGAGTATGTGTTCATTACACGGTATGCTATTTTTATTTACTCCAACACAGTAGTGAAGAACTCTGGGAGGTGGCAGACACTCAGCACATTCTTGGTGTGCAGGGAACTCTTTAGTAACTGATTAGTAAGTTTGTTTGTTTGTTTTTTTTTTTTGTGTGTGTTAGAGCACTGGAGCAGGGGAAGGAGATGAATATTCTACAATGTTCAACTGGATTCTCACATGGCAGTTCACTTACCAATTGTTAAGGGTTGTTTAAATGTCACCCCAAGACCTCATGCAGTCATGTGAGTGGGCTGCTAGAGTTTGTGATTGATTCAGGGTTCCAGTGTTGGGGTTAAGCTTGTGAGTTCTACACCAGGCCTAGGGCAGATAGCCTGCATACAATATAAAGGATGGAAAAAGGCTTTTCTCTTTCTCTCTCCTCTATCTCTCCTCTCTTCTTGCTTTTGCTGCCTTCTACGGCCATGAACAATTTCCCTCTGCCATGTGCCACCCTGCCTTGGAGCCAGCCAACTATGGAGTGACACCTCTACAAACTGAGATAAATAAATCTTCCCTCCTTTAACTTTGGGTGTTGGGTATTTTGTCTCAGTGATGAGAGAAAAGTGGTTTTGGATATGGGAGGCCCACCTGAGGACTGTTGCCAATAATGTAAAAAGAGAAGTGGAGAGGAAGATGATGCGCGGTTGACTCTCCTAAGAAGCTGGTCCCACTGGTTCTCTGATTTCCCTTTTTTCTTACTGGGAATTGAACTTAGGAACTCATGCTTGCCAGGCAGGTGCTGTGCTACTGAGCTAAATACCTGGCCCCTACTGGTTTTCCTGATATGAACTCAGTTGCTTTCATCCTTGAAGGAGCTTGGGTCCTCTGTGTCACTGAGGATGGCTGAGATTCTCTTTGTGGGAGCTCTGCTCCTTACCTTGAGCATTGCTTCCTAGATCCAGTGCAGATCCTTCAGCCTGCTGGTACAGATTCTTCATCCTAGTGGCACAGACTTTCTAGCTTCCACCATTGAACTTCGGGCCTTCTCAGTGCAGATCCTTGAAGCAGACTTGCGTGAGACATTGTTGTAGGCTCTAGGCCTCCAGCTGGACTCGTGGAGGACATTGCCATGAGTTTTAGGTCTTCAGCTGGACCCATACAGGATATTGCTATGGGTCCAGGCACTCAGATGGATTCTTTGGGTCTTTAATACATGGGAAGATCTCCTGTACTCTTCTGCATTTGACTTTTTGGGTGAATATTATGAAATAATCTTATAAATTATATGTCCTATATTAAATCTATTCTCTTGTAAACCCTGAGTGTAACAACAATGAATGATCTTTGGAGATCTCGTATTCTTTGTCTTTTGATATTGTTCATTTTCTTAAAAGTTTTGTCTGCTTTTGATTTTAGATAGTGAAGTCCTAAAAAAAGCTCTTTAGGGCTAAAACTGCCCATCGAAAAAGTTAGAATGGACCTTCACTTTTATATCTGCCATAAATGAGAACTGTGGCATCTTTCTAACATTCAGGATAAAACTGAGGAGTATTTGTTCCTATCTTTGCATTTATTTATGGCTACAGGAATTTTCTGATTTGTTAACTTGAAGGTAGTATATTCTATATGGATCTGCCTCCTTTACTGCCTCCAGTGTTAGGTACAAGAAAGTTCAAACAAAGAGGACATTATCAGTTTGTCTTGAAAGATACGCCACTTTTTATCTTTGCATAAAATAAAGTTTTGTGGAGAAAAGTCAGTGCCTCCCAAGAATTAGCCATTCTGGGACTGTGAGGACCCAACAAAAAGCCAACTAGCCAGCCTTTCTGGTAAGCCACACAAGCCACCCAGGTTTCAGGAAGACAAAAGTCAGTGCCTCTAGTGGGCCTACTGGCGCATGGGCTGAGAATCAATCCCCTTCCCTCCCTGTAAGCAACCTACTGGTTCAGACAGGCTGAGTTGATAGCAACTAAGGTATATATAGCAATGCTTGTATTGTCTGGTTGATTTTGCAGGCCTGGGGCCAGCAGTCAACACCTCTCGGGAGGATGACAATATGCAATATAGTAAATGTGGGGAATTTCCTTCTGTCCTGTCTTTGAAATCCAATATTGTTCTCAGTGTTTTGCTTCACTCTGATCAATTGTTTTGCTTTATTCAATACTCTGTTTTGTTTTTGGATTGATTTTGCTGTACCTGATGGAATGGACAATGATTGTAAAGATAACAAGATACACTATGGTAGCTATCGTTTTCCTGGTATCCTGCTTGGAAGTTCTACCCATTTTGCTACTTTGTTTTGATTGGCTTTGTTGCGTTTTGTGTTGTGGGATTTTACTACCTTTAAAATAAAAAGAAAAACCAGATAAATGAAGTTTTATGAAAAATGTCCATTGCCTTTTACAAAATTGCAATATTGTATAATACTGCAGTACATCTACTCAGAAAAATTTTGTCCTTGAAATGAGCTACCCATGAGAAAAACTGATGATGTATAGTTGAATGATTGGTTTATATGTACAAGAAAATGTAACTGGGGGAACAATTAAGTTACATTGTCAATTTGCATTAAATTAAAAGTCCCTATATAGAATGATCCATGAATATAGGTTTGTTGTTGAGGTGTGTTATTCTTTTTGGCACTTGAGAGCACATAACGGGGAGAACTTGTATCAGATTACTGTAGACTCTCTAACTTTCATTTGCCTCATCAGGTCTGAGAGCTGCTGGCCTCCTCCTAATTGCCATCTGGTCTCCCACTCATTTAGAGGAATAGAAACCAGCTTGTTCCACTTGGGAGATTGCTTTACTTCTGAATCATGAGCCTGATCTGTGGCCAGATCTAGAAGTGGAGGAGAGTCAGTCTCTGCTTTGATAATGGGGTTGATTATGCTGAGAAGCAATAGTTCATATGGGCTGTTGGGAGAGGGAGTATTCAGTTATGCTTGGTACTAAGAGTAGTAATTCAGTATTCATAAAGCTGAGGCAGGAGGATCATTGCAAACTTGAGACCATCCTGGGTTACAAAGTGAGCCTAAGGCCAGCCTGAACTGCATAGCAAGACCCTGTCTCAAAAAGACAAAAACAGTAACAACATAAAAGAGGACTCAGCACTGCATCTTACATTTTCTCTCTCTCCTCCTATGCCTCACTGCCTTTTGCCTTCCTGCCAGCTTCTTTGGGGCTCTGCTCTCAGGAAAACTGAGACTAAGACAACTGTCTTCTTATTTTTGTATAACTTCAGACTACATTTTACAGATACACTTTATCTATGAGTTCATTATTGTCTAACGTTAGTGAACTCTGTCCTAAAAGGGTATCACATGGTACATTTGCATCAAGTAGCTTGTGGATTATCTTGAGATTTGTAGCGCCCTACATTTTAGTAGTTATACTAGTTTTATTTTGAACAGAACTTGTGCCTGTTGATGAAACCTGTGACATTTTGCTTATTTACAAAGCTAAAGGGCCCTGAGTAAAAACTAGGATAAACTGTCATCTTGAAGGTGAGAGAGCTCACCAATATGGTCCTCCAGTTTAGATTATTGGAATTGTCCAGTTTGTCCATGATACCAGCTCCATTATCAAATGAAGCCAATAGATTAGTAGTAGCCTATAATTAGTAGTTGGGGCTGGCTTTGTCTGTAATACATACAAAGAGCTCTCCAGGTAAAAGGAATTAACTGATTTAAGAGGCAGGGAAGGGGAAGGTAGATGTGTTCATTTGGGTGCAGTTGGGAGGTACATGATATAAAAAACATAAATATAAAAGTTGTACTTAGCATTCTGAACAGAGAGTGGAAGAACTCGGAAAATACAGAAACTAGTAATCTGTTCTGATCTAGTCTAGGGAAATCAATGCTTGCTCCATCTTAACTGGGATGACTTTTTTCATGAGTCAAGGGGAAGGTATTCAAGCGCTTCTTTTGGATAGTGTTAATTTGGTCCATGTTCCAGCCAACTCATACTTAACTTCCTCTGTATCCACAGCCATGCTAATACGGATGTGCTTTCAGACTAACGTTCCGTGTGACCACTTGTTGCTTTTGCTTCCTAACATCATTCCTCCACTTACTAGAGAAGCAAGACTTAGAATTTTCTTCGAGGAATCATTCCTGTTCCAACTCCCAGTCCTTATTTTAGGTGGGGTTGATGATCCATCTTTTCAGTCACTTAGTTCCAGGAGTCAGCTCATTAGCACATCACTTCTCTTCACCCTAGTTTTTGATGCAGGAATGGTCACATGACTCAATTTGAGTCTACCATGAGAATCAGTCCTGAGGTTTTCATTGGACATTTTGCGGGGAAAAGAAACTGTCCTTCTGTTATATTTGGAGCTCTAGTGCTAATTCTGGAGTCAGCGGTGGCCCCTGGAAGGTGAAAAGCTATTGGAACATGAAGTTTTTGTGAAGTAAAAGGCAAAGTGAGGTACTTTTTGACATACTGAACATTCAGATCAGGCCATGGGTGAGGTGTCACCTCCTCAGATTTTCCAGGTATTAAAGGCAAAACTTCCTTTATGCTTGAACCAGTTGACTTAGCTTTTTGTCACTTGACACAGAGAGTCCTAACTGACATGTGTTGATGCAGTGGGGACTGAGATAAATTTTGGTAGCTACTGTCCATGTAATTCCATTAATAACATTATGGAATATTTTGAGATAAGAAAATGACTATATTCCTTGAGTCTCCAAAACCTCTTTTCTCCTTCTTTCATCTCTGTAGCCCCTTCCAAAGTGGTTGCCATCAGAAACCTTTCCCTCCTTTCCTCCTCCTCCACATAAATATGCTTGTTCCAGTGGATGTTTATGAAACAGAACAACCAAGTTGCCCTGCCTCACCCTACAGCACAAAGGTGACGAGAGCAGGCAATTTTGTACTATTTAGAAAGTAATGATATTTAAAGAAAGAGACAGGAAAGTATATCCATTATAAGCTTTTTCTTTTTTAGAATTTAAGCTTATTGAGTTTATCTATGCCCACTATATTCATAATTACAATTTGATATCTGCATACAAAAGCTATGTAAAAATTCATTTTTCCCAAATATACAAATTTCCTTTTTGAATAGTTTAAAACATTTTGATCACAGATTTCAACAGAGTTTTAGGCTGAAAAAAATATTACCAATCTAGCAATATCACTTAACACTGTTTGCAAAACATAAATCTTCCAATGACTGTAAATCTTCTTTTCTGTAGCATTTTTCTGATCCTCAGGGCATGAAAACATACAGTAAAAAAGAAATAAAAGTGTTTTCTCTGTGGAAAGCATGAGCACTTTTTAGGCTCTGATCAAATTGATGATGCCAAGTCCATAAGGAAGAATCAAAAGAAAGAAATGATATAAAATCATGCCAGCTCATTCATGCCCTGATCACTTATCAATGAATGTGTAAAATGTCTACTTTCATCTCACATTGTGCTCCATAATTTTCACGAGGACTATCTCCATCCTGAAGAGGACAGATTGATATTTGATTGTCTTGTGCATAAGGTGGGTCAGCTTTAACTGTGCAACAGAAAGCCACAAACAGCGTTTTACCTGCACGATATTGCTCTTGAAGGCGGCATTAATTAATGTGGAAACACACTAGAAATGCACACATTTTGCATTTGCAAACATTTATACAGCACAGTAAAAATTCTGTGATAAGGCCAAACCTTTTTTTCCTCCCTAGTCTATTTTTTTGTGTTTTAATGTCTTTTTTTTTTAAAGATTAAAGTAAAATATTTCAATTGTAAAAAATACACACTGGGCAAATCCTTACCTGGATAATAAATATCTACATCACAGTACAATAAAATTTCTCTATAAAATTTAAATATGGATTACCATCTATCACTATCAAAAGAAACACTATGCTAATATTTCCATATTATTAAAATAATAGGAAAAATTACGAGCTTATTTTAGAACCTGATGCCATGGCCATTGGAGGGGGCAAAGAGATTCAAATGTCTGTCTTTTTTCTCCTTTTGAGGAGGACTGTGACTTTGGTTAGTCACTTAAATTAAGTTCATGTAAAAGGTTTAGCCTTACAAACGCTGGCTACATTTCAAAAACCGTAAGACTGACTTCATAATTTAGGACTCATGCAGCAAAAGGTCAATATGACACAGAGAGGTTAGAGTTCCATAGAATAAAAATGTATCACTGACAATGACATGCTTTGAGGGTGCTCAGCAATTCCAGGGAGGCTGAGTCAGGGTGGGGGACTTAGTGTTGGAGGACTGAGGCTTGTACAACTGTTTGCAAGGAACCATGAGGATGGCGAATGGCGTTGCGGGAGCGGAGCAGGGACTGGCAGTCCTCCCGATGGTGGCACTGCAGGCTGAGGTGGTGTCCCTTGGGGAACAAGTGAGGGGCATCACTGGGCTGGGCTTTAACACGTCAAATGCGTCACCGAGGACTGAAGCTCGTTGGACTAGAAGCTCTGAGGCAGCACGTGGTGTTTTGAGCAGAATCATAAAGAAGGAAATTGCTTACTGTTCTTACTGTTTCTGGAAGGACTGCATGTCTAAACTGAAGAGCAAAGTACACTTGACGGCTTATACACACGCGCATACACAGGTACCTAAGAGCACATGGTGTGTGCACCCACCCCTTCCGATCCCTAAGAGGCAGAGATTTATAACTGAGAACCCCAGAAGTGTGGGTGCATTCTCCTCTACTGGAATGTCTCCCCACACGCAGGGAGGGGTGAAGATTCTTTCTATGAGATCCACACTCGATTTGGACGTCTGGACAATATTAAGAAAAAAGGTCAAAAAGAAAATCAGGACCAAATCCTTAACAATCAAGTTTTACTAGACGGAGTCTTGAGATGCACTAAGTACAGCTGGAAGTTTCACACATCACTAGGGGCACGATCCTCTGAGACCCTAAAGCTTTGCCTGTGAACCAGAAGCACTCTGAGGCTGGTTCTATCAGCATAAGGTGTTCAGCTTTCAACAAACTTCTAGAACAGTGCTTTGGCTGTGCAAGGCAATTATTACAGAGCCGAGGACCACACATTCCTTTGCCTGGGGATGCTACGGATATGTCACCATTTGGCCAATGCCCAGTTACGGTCACTCCCCCAAAGCATTCTAACCTTGACCTCAGCATCTGTGAGCCTGTCCAGTGCCACACTTGCTTGTCTTCCATTCATTCCTTTAGGAAGAAAAACTTGCCCAGATGGAAAACACCTTGAGCTAGAGATGGCTGAGTGTTCTTTCAGAGAGCGCTCCCCAAGGTGAGCCAAGAGAGGGGCCAAGGTGGTATCAGAATAAGTCAGTCAGTCAGTAAGGATACTGGCTGGAGGCTGCGTGGAGAGGAGGAAACCCAGAACAGCTATCTGGAGACAGAGCCAAGTAGGTAATATGCTTAGGAATTTCATGATTATATGTTTCTTTTCATCCATTTCCTGTCTCTCATTAACATGTTCCATAGAGATATTCTTGTTTTCTTTTCCCAGAAGCTTTAGAACATCACCTCTCACCCCAATTATTTCCAATCATTTTTGGTATTTTCAGTACTGTTCCCTTCCTTCTCCCAAGGGCACACTGCTTCCTCTAGTTGACTAGTATTACATCAAAGTCTTATCTTGAATTGGTATCAAATATACATTTCTTAACTCTTACTGGATTGTACTCTTTGTAAGTAAGCTAGAAGTTTGAATATGAAAGAAACCACCCAAAAGAACCAGCCCCCTCCCCCCAATTTATACAGTGTTGAGGGTGAGATGGATTTTGGAGTCTTGATTTGCTCAACAGAGAAGAAAACCAAGACCCAAAGTCCTGAATCTACCAGCCAGCAGAGTACACACTGGAAGTCAAGTGGCCTGACTTCTAGGCCAGTTATGCTTCACAAACCTAAAATGAAATTAGTCAACTTGGTTTTCACAGTGACTTTCATTCCTTCGCTTTCAGGTAAATCCCAGTGATATGGCTTATATTCCCCAATATTTCTATGATAAGGCAGTAAAAGGCAGGCAAACGAATAGTTTACATCTACTATGCCAGTGAGGAATGAGGTACATTCAATTGCATGGGCACACTCTTGGCCCATTTTCTGAAGCTGAAGTGATGAGGCATCACCTCATTTTTTTGGGACAGTTCCTCCATGTTGATTGGTGGGGTGGTAGAGTGGCAGGTTGGGCAGGGAAGGTGAGAGCGCGTTCTCTCAAGCATTCTTCAGGAGTTTTCTGCTGAGTGTCTGTCAGGGGAAAGCTATGGAAGGGACTGGAGGAGCAGCGTGGGGCTGATGATGGTTAGAGAGCATCGAGCTGTGTGGAACCTCAGAGTCAGAGGAAGGGGAACTAGAAAATATGTGTGAGCAAAGCAAAGAGCTTGAGGCTCTAAGACCAGAAGAAAGCAGCCTTAAGCAATCAGTACACAAATACTGGGTTTCAATTCAGAATGAAAATGCACTAATCTTGCACCAGAATTCCTCCCAATAAAACTCAAATTTCAGCTTTCCTCTCCTTGATTAGAAGATACCATCCAAAGGAAATCTGTTGTCAGCTCAGCAAAGATGCAGCCAGGAGAAATAACTTCAGGAGCTTGGAGATGACAGATCAGATGCCATTGAAAAGTGATGACACCCTGTAAATAGGTTTGATTTCTGTGGGAACACTTCTGCGAGCCAAAATTGTAAAGAAGCCTTTTTACCTCACAGTTGTGCTACATGAATTTTTGGAAACTGCAGAGTCACTAACATTGGTGAATCTTTCTAATCTCTTTGTGGTGACTCAAGAAAATTATTTTTCTTGTGGCCTCAATCAGGCAGGTAGCTGCACATCTTTGAGTCATACCCTTGTATCACTAAAATTAAATCAAAAGGTCACAAAATGATATTGAATGGCTAGCTGATTTCTTAGCACATGATTTTTTCTTCCCATTCCAAGTGAACCTGCTAGGCAAGAACAAGGGCTAAGAACAGATGAATAGATGAAAATTTGTTCAGATCTTTCCCCAAAATGCTGAAAATTGCATTAGCCAAAGGTGCAAAGTATTCTGCTAACTTGCGCCCTGAAAAAATCATATTGGTTCAAGATGACTGTATCATCTTGGCTTTAAGGCTTCCTTAGTCTTTTGTGTGCCATTTGGCTTGCTCAAGTCTTGACCAGGGACAGGTGGGAGCTGGTGATGGCTTGATGCTGGTGAAGTAATGATTAACTCTCACCCCACCTCCACAACTGTAAAGCCTTCAAGGCATTCACATCAAAGAATTGGGGAACAAAATGCAATAGTTACAAGTACCCGCATTCAAGGGGCAATTTCATCCATGTCTTTGCCAAAGATACCTCCTTTTACCCCCCAAATGAGCCTTCCCAACACAGAGACAAAGAAACAAACACAAAAGAGCTAGGCAATGGAATGAAATGACACCCAGTAGTGCTGTTGGAATTATGAGAATGAATCCAGTCAGTCTAATCCTCGAATACTTCCAAGAACAATGGGGGGAACAGTTCTGTGGGGCATTCCACCTTCATGTGCAGGAAGCGGCTGGCATGGCAGGCTCCGATCATCCTCAGATCTGTCACCTTCATCAGGAGTTTTGGCCAAAAGTGTGTCACGTGATGTTTTCGGTAATTGATATAGTGTTCAAAAGCCAGCAGGAAACTATCTTGGTATTTCTCTATTCTCTCAACACAAGCAAGCCCTGGGCGATCTAAGGAGAAGGAGGAAGATGGGTATTAATTCAGAGGAGGAAAGGAGAAGATTTGCTTGATCCAATCCAGTTCTTCAGGGGGAGACAGGCAGATGTGAGCTTTTTTCATCTCCTAGGACTGAGCATGCATAGGTGTGAACTCTGGGGTTCCAGGGGCCAGGGGCCAGGGGCTAGGCGCCAGGGGTCAGGGGAATGGTAGTGCTTTGATCAGAAAAATACTGGTAGTTTAGGCAAATCACTTCCATAGATATGAAAGGGAATGACCACTTTCCAGGGTAAATATGATGAGTTTCCTCTGCCTGGAGAGGAGAGGACAAACATGAATACACAGAGAGGGGAGATACAAGAAGAGACTAGAGCATCGTATTTGCCTGGGGCAGAGGAGGAATGTGGAACAGGATTTCCTTGAAGACAAACACAATATCTAAATTGTTTTTTGGGCTGGAGTGACACACTTGTTCTCTTGCTTTAATCCTGGTGGATATGCTCTAAGACCTCCCCTGGATGCCTGGAACTGCAGGTAGAGCGTCAGAGCTACAGTTGCTCTGTCCTTGGGGAAGGCTGGTGTGAGGACTCCTGCAGATATAAAAATCTGAGGATGCTCAAGTCCCTCATTAGAAAATGGCATAGTATTTACACATGACCTAGCCACATCTACCCATATTCTTTAATCACCCAAGACTATAGTACCTAGTGCTATATAAATAGTTTGTTATACTGTATGGCTTGGGGATTAATGACAAAAGTGTATGCATGTTCAGAATAGACCCTTTTTCCCCCCAAGTATTTTCAATCTGGGGTTGGTTAAATCTGCAGATGCAGAACCTCAGGACATGCATACACACCTTTGACAAAGTTAAATTTATAAATTAGGCACAGTAAGAGATTAGCAGTCATAATGATAATAACAATATACTATAATAAAAGCTATGTGAATGTGCTTTCTCTCTCTCTCAACAGGTCTCCTTGTATTTTTGCCTTTTTACTTAAAGTAGGCACTTTTGGTTTCTTTTTGGCATAGCCAAATTATATGTGTTACTCTTCTTTGCTTTGGGGCTGTAATGGTTGCTATCTAGATGTCCCCTGAGAGCCACATGCACTCAGAGGTGGGTCTTTTGGAAAGTGACTCAGTCACAGGGCACTGTAGCTGTGAGTCACTGAGGACTTGGCCTGGAAAGGTGTATCTCCCTTCTTGGGTTCTTGCTTCTCTCTCTGCTTCCTGGCAGGCATGAAGTGAGCAGCTGTCCTCAGTCCAGGCCCTCCCACCATGCTGCCAACCGTAGAGGGATTGAAACTTCTGAAATGTGAACCAAAATAAATCACTCTTCCTTTAAACTTTTGATTGTTAGGTATTTTGCACTAGTGATGAGGAAAGCAACTAAAATAGGGTGAATCTGTACCCTAGAGGCCAGTTACTAAAGAGTTCTCCTTCAGCTGAAAGGAAGGAACAAGACTATAGCTCATTCATCACTCTAAGTCAAAACAAACTGTATGGGTTTCTGGAATCCTCTAATTTGGCTCAAATAACAAGCTGTGCATTTTAATTTTGTTTGCTTTTATATGTGGCAATGTTGCTCTGTGGATCAGCGCTCTTCCTCTTCTGTCTTGTGTGTGTGTGTGTGTGTGTGTGTGTGTGTGTGTGTGTAAGAATGTGTAAGAATTTTCTTACACATGCTGTGCATGGTGGTGCAAGTCTGTAATTCCAGCACTCAAGAGGCTGAGGCAGGAGGATCACTGTGAGTTTGAGGCCAGCCTGAATTATATAGCAAGACCCTGTCTCAAACAACAGTACCAGCAACAACAAAATAAATAAACCCCAAAACTTTCCAGGATCCTCCAAATTTTGATCTAAAAAGAAAATCAGTATAATGTTGCTTTGGATATCTCTCTTCAAAGAGAAAACATAGCTTGGGTTTTGAAGCATCAAAACTCTATCCTTTGATGAAAGATAAAAATAATATGGTCATATAAAAGATAACAAAAGAAATGACATTAATGAGCTCAAATCATACTAAAAAGTTATGGAGAGGGAAACATTTTAACTTTTTCCCTTTAAGTCCTTAAAGCAAAAGTGCTCAAAGAAATGTCTTGGGATCTTTTCCATTTTTGCTTTCAGTTTCTCTGCAGGGTCATGAAACCCAGAAATAGCACTCTTGCAAGGGTCTTTGTACAATTGAAATGTCAAATACACCCTGGGGCTTCAGAGACAAGGATAAGAGGGGACTGGAGCATTGGAACTCTGATATGTAGATATCATTTGCCAAAGGTGCACATTTTGTATTTTTTTCTGGATCTGGTAGCGTCATTGCAAAGGACCCACATTACTAGGATGGGGAACATTTTAAAGTTATAAAACATGTCATATGACTGTCAGGCAGTGACAGTCTCACAAAAGCAGACTTGAGAGGAATCATTTAGTCAGGTCTTGTTGGCGTTTGGCACCATGCTTAAAGCATTTGCCATCACCACCTGCTCCCTTCACTTAGATCATTTACTTAATCATCTGACTCACTACAGGGAAACATTATTCAGGAACAGAAATCCATTTGTCATAAACAGAAGATAATCACAAAAATTGATGCATAACAAAACCCTTATTAAGTCATAAAGACCCTTTTATCAAAACAAAGTTTCCTGTGACGGTTCTGTGCCTAAGATCACTATCTCACTATTAAAAAGGCAGAAGGCAAGTCCAACAGGGAGTTAAAGTCAGATTAGTACCACACCAGCTCTCTCCTTATCTTATCTGAGACACAACCAGAAATTGCAGAAGAAATAGCGCTCACTCTGTGTGACTTAATGTTATTTAAAACTGTTTTTGTTCATTAAAATCTCAGCTGAAAAGTTACTTTGAGTACTTCCATGAATATAATTCCCCTATATGTAGTTCAGTTCCTTTATTTTAAAGGTCACTGAAGCACATAAAGGCTAGGTCTTGGGAGGGGGGGAGTCTTAAGATAGGCTCTAAGTCTTCTTTCTTTGATAATAGCTAATAGCTTGCTAGACCGAAGGGCTGAGGGCTGTGACCACTCACTGGCTGAATGGCAGCTGCCTCAGCTCTCCAGGCCACTGCATTTCCCTGTCACCTGAACTTTGCTCACATGGCCTCCTGCCTTGTGGAGCCCGAAAGGTGACTCTGTTCAGAAAGCCTGCTAGCAAGACTCTTTGGTTGCATAACACAGTCCCTGAAGGTGGTATCAGACTTGCTGTATTCTATTGGTTAAAAGCAAATCCCAGCTTCTATAAACGCATAAGGGGAGGGGATCACACAATGGTGTGAACACAGGGACTCCTAGAGTCTGTCTGTCACAGTCTCTACAGAGTTTAGTATTCCATTTATTTATACTTGAAATTTTCTATAATAAAAATAATGCCTTTTCAAAATTCTGATCTATCTCAACTTCCTGTAGGAAGCAAACTTGTAAGTCAAGCTAAAAATAAAAAAGGCATTCTACCAAGTTAACTAGAAATCTTCAACTGCATAAAGGAGTCTCAATATACTTGTGACTGATATTTTACCCACATCTTCAGTCATTCATCCAATAAGCATTTCTTGAATTGTGCTGAACAGTACCTCAGGTCCCACATATAAAGTTAGATACATCTTTGTCTTCAAAAGCTTAAACAGCACAGAGGTAAATGTGGATAAACTAAGCAGGGAGTTACTGTCAAGGTGCTCTGGAAATGCAGGGGTGGCTCTGAAACTACTGTCCACTCAAAGGCCAGCAATCTCTGAAGAAAATGTCCGCACCATCCTCTCCCTGTCACTCGGGAGCCCGAGGCTCTGGGAGTGAGCGGTGGTGGGTGACAGAGGGCTGCACATAGTTGCTGCTTTAGTACTCTCGTCCAGAGTGGACTGTTGGTCAGGGCTGGCACTAGGGCTGGTATGACACCATGTGACTATAGAATAGGACTTGCAAATTCTACTTTTGTGTGCTTCTTGGAGTTCAATAGTCATATAAGAAGTGTACATGAGGTCTGAAGCTATGTTTGATGTCTCAGCCGCCTTGCATGTTCTAAGTCTGTGAGTTTTGGGCTGCTGTGTTGCATAGCAGTTAATACCTGAACTCAAGTTGTAGCTGAACCATGAGCAAATTCTAGTGCTCATGGTACCACACACACAATTTATCAAAAAGCTTATCAAAAGCTTATCAGCCCACAGGCGGGTAATTCCTAATGAAAGTGCATCATTTCATAGTGTCTTTCAGATGTTGCCTTTGTTTCCTTCTCACCACTCTGGGAAACTGCAGGAAGCGTCAGACATCTGCATTCTCTAGTTCCCAGGCCATTGACAAACCCCGAGTTTCTCAATGAAGGACAGTAAAACTAAAGGGAGACTGAAACTTGAATTAGCACCAGAGAACTAAAGGCTCTTTTCGTATCCATAATGAGTCTAGGCCCACTCACCTGAAGACATGAGCAGGACAGCCTGAAGCAGGGCTACTTCTGTGTCATCCAGGTTGAAAGACGACAGAGACATGCCCAGGTCAAAGATGGCATCTGACACAACCCCAAGACCCCCATTTTTCAGTTGGCCCCGTGTCACTGCCATTTCCCCATTCAAGGTTAAAGTCTCACTTTCTGGGTCATAGCGCACAGCAGCTCGAAGGGACATGATCTCCATGCAGCAGCCTTTGAGGAGGATTATCTGGTCTTCACATGGCAGCTGAAAAGAAACAGCCCACGTCAGCAAACAACAAGAGGACAGATGCCAGTCAGGAACAACAGGCAGCAAAGTATCACAAAAATAAGGGGACCAGTGTTCGTCCTGCATTCTTTGAGCTCATAGTCTTTACATGGTGGCAAACTTTCTACAGTAGTTTTTTTTTCTTTCTTTTTTTTTTTCTTAAGATAGGATCCTTCTCTAATTCAGGCTGACCTTGAACTCATGGTAATCCTCCTCCTTCCCAAATTCTGGGATTATAGGTGTGCACCACCATGCCGGGCTATAAGTAGTTTTTGTACACCAAGCAATTTTGGTCTCAGTAGGTTGCATTTCTTTCATGACAGATACAGGTCTTGAACTGACATTATAGTCATGTGTGGAACTTTATTAATAACTCCTTAGGTTGGGGTTTGTTACATCAAAATTTCACCTAATAACTACCCAAGAGCAGAGTTTATGCTAAAGTCACCTTTTTTTGGAGGGGGAGTGTCTTACATCTCTCATAGCAGAAGACTACTGCTTAACTCACAACTAGACCTCATAAGAGTTTATTCCTTAAGTCTCACCAAAGGCAGAGAACTAGAAAGCTGCTGACAGATGTATGTTATCTGCAAGGCCCACAGATAGAAAAGCTTTGCACAAGCGCAGAAATGAGATCAGAATTCAGATTTCATGGTTCTTAAGGTTATGTTCTGCTCAGAAATTCAAATACCAGAATTACTCAATACATTATATCTTTTTGCTAGTAGTGTAACTTCATTTTAAGTTCACTTGTTTACCTTGTTACTTAGGACTTATGGTAATGGAGTAACGTTAATAATTATGCTTTAATATTTGCTTAGCAAAGACGGAAAGGTAATTTCTAGAGGTGAGAAAGTTTAAATGCTTTTACCAAACCTATTTGAAAGGGTCTGAGTTAATAAGAGTGTTTGATGAATTAGGCATCATGCCAAAATTTACAGTTATTACCTTGTTTAATCTTTACAGCAATGCAGTAAGGTAAATATTTTATTTCTAATTTTATTCAGAGATGTGAAAACTGAGACACTGAAAGGGGAAGTAAATGCTGAAGGTCATAGAAATATTTTGGAGGTGAGGCTAGGCTTTGAAGCTAGAGCTGTCAAAATCCAATGCCAAGACAAGAAGAGAACATACCCATTTGAAGTACCCTGGGTGACTAAATTTCCATAAACAATGAACATATAAATTATACATAATATGTGCCTCTTCATTAAAGCTGCAACAAATTCTTTTTGGGACAAGCTCTTGGCAATATTTCATTAATCCAATATAGGTATTGGGGTCTATCATGTATAGCTGCAGTTCCATATGATGAATGTGATCATTATGTATATCTAACCTACACCAATAAACTTAATTAAGGATAAAAATTCAAAATAGGTTATTATATAGAAATCAAAGTAGGATGGAGGATGTAGCTCTGTGACCCAGCACCTGCCTGGCAAGTGTGAAGCCTTGAGTTTGAGTCTCAGCACTTAAAAAAGAAAAAAAAAGTGGAAGTACATTTAATACACAGTATTTCATAGTTTTTTCTAGCCCAGCCTAGTCATCTGACCATTTCATTTTCTTCTGCAGAATAAAACTCATTTAATATTTGGTTCTGGGATTTATACATATGAATGATTTCCTTCCATCTACTTTAAAAAGCACACAAAAGCACTGTGATTTGCTTTCATCTAGGGTCTGACTTGTACTGCTGACTTACGGCCTTGTGTCCTGGCCAAGGCATGGGAAGAGGTAGGAACTGGAGCTTGAGTAAAATTACAGGTGAAAGGGGAACTAGCAGGACAGGGCAGAGGCTGGCCAAGGGGAGGTCTCTCCTTTCTACCTCTCAGCGTCACCCAAAGGCATGTTAAACTCAGAAGCTCCAGTTTCTCCATTCCTCCGGAAGTTCCTAGTAACGTTCAGGAAGTGAGTTTGCTGACTCTACTCTTGGGAACGTTAGCAATGGAAATTACTAATCAGATAAAACCACTTAAGTTTCATAACTGTCACAAAGTATGCAAATATGGGCAGGCCCTGCCTTTGAAGTTGTCTTCATATGAATGAAGTAAAAGGTTTCTTTTTTAAAATCTACTAACCAGTGGTAATTAGTTCAGACTTAAATGAAAGCTGAGTGTTTGCAAAGGATTATCAGTAGTTTAAAAGTTGGATCAGACACCATTTTCTTTAGAAGGAGTGAGTAGGATACTGGTGAAATCTAACATGTAGGCACATAATCTCTTAGGGCCGTACTGCCACACTTTCATTGTGAGAATGTTCCCGAGAGGGCCTGACAGGCAGAGACAGCCAGAGGTCCTCCCACAGAGCCGTTCGCCTCCTGAGGAGAGCATCACTCAGGTTGACTGGCAAAGACAATGGAACATTCAAGGAGTGGTTCTTATGTTTGGCTTTGGCAGCTTTGCTGGCAATGGTTTTAGATCTTGTGAAGCTCTGGTGTCAGCCAGCTTTGTTTCAGGTTAGCAGGGATCTTGGCACAATAATTACCATGACACAGTTTGAATAGCAGATATGTCAAACTGCAACTGACAAGAGTCCTGGCTCCAGGACCACTTCGGATCTGTAGGTCACTCCAGTCTGTAGCTACCTCAGGATCCTATATAGTCCCTTACTCTTTGTGGGTTTTGAAGAGAGTGTAACAGCCTGGCAGGTGTCTGGCAACCTTCAACACTGGAAACATATGATCTGTGTCTTAAAAGGGCCACTCTCCTTTTCTTTATAAACAAAATACCAAGTTTGACAGAGCGATGGAATCTTGCCCAAGGAAGCAGGTTTACATTTCTAAGGGAAATTTGGGGAGAGAAGCTATGCTTTGAAAGTTTCATGTTGACCCCTGATCCATGGTGCAGATGTAAGAATGTGGTGTGTTTGTTACTGGGGTTGGAGATGGTGCCTTCTCCCTCACCCTCTCTTCTTCCTCTTCTTTAGCTGAAATATACTCTAGTGGTTGATTTACACAACTTTACATTTTTAAAAACATATTTGGTGGGCATTGGAAGGGTGCTTACTGTGTAATTGTCAGGCTAGCTTGAAGTAGTAAACTCACTAGAGTTCCTCTTAAACTACCAAGACAGGAGCCAAGGGACACAGAGACAGAGACAGAAAGAACCTGGAAGGGCCTGTGTATACAAAGCCAACTGGGCAAAAAATAAAGATAAGATTCAGAGTTAGCAAGAGGGGAAACCAAGCATCGGTGTGGAGATGTGAGAGCATGCTTTCTCCCTTGGGAGTAAATCAGTAGCATATATTAAAAGCCTTAAAGTGTTATCTATCTATCTATCTATGATTTATATCTATCTATCTATCTATCTATCTATCTATCTATCTATCTATTTCCTATCTATCTATCATCTTGGTCCTTAGATCCCAAATATAGGATTTACCCTAAGGAATTAGTGATGTGAGCAGAGCACAGTTGCCAGAATGGTTATCATAGCTTATTAGTAAAAGATTGGAAATGAATTACTGCATCAGTGAGAGCAACCTAAACTATGGTAGCCCCACTTTCTGGCATACTGTGCAATCATTAAAAGTCATTGTGTGGAAGGACACTGAAATGATATCCCACCATTGAGGGTAAAGTCAGGTGCAGTGGGCTGCTGGTAATATTCTATTTCTGGACCTTGATGCTGGTTATATGGATGAGTTCATGAACTGCATACTTATGATAGGGTGATCAAAATATACAGTAAATATTTAAATAAAAATTACAACATAAAACACATTGGCATTAATTTCCTCAAAATCTGCCCCTTCCACTTTGAATACACTTATCCTGTTGTCCTTGCCACTTTCTAAAGCAGTTTTGCAAGTCCTCTTTCATGAGTATCTTTATGAGATGATCAAAAATATGGTGAGTGCTGCGGCTGAGTGCCTTCCAACAGTAACGCAGCTCATGAAGACACTGTGGTATGTCCTTATCCACCTTATTCACTGGATCTGGCCTCATGTGATTTCTGGATCTTTGACAAAGTCAAAATGGCCATGGAGGACGAGCACACATTTTGAATTAATTCAGGACATGGGGCAGCCAAAACAGCACAACTAAAGATATTTGTGAAAGAGGGCTTCCAGAACTGCCTCAGAAAGTGGCAATGATGACAGAATAAGTATGTTCAAAGTGATGAGAAGAATTTTGAGGGAGGTTAATAGCAATGTGTCTTTTACTGTAATATATTTAAAAAACTAACCATTCACTGTACTTTTTGCTCACAGCTTCTCTCTAGCTGAGGTTGCTTATGGAAAAGGCTCACAGCAGTGTGTGAACCTCTCCACATAGTGTCTTTCCAGGGTCCCTTGAATGTGTGAAGAGCAGCAGACTGTCACCTGATGAAGTTTTTCAAGGGAAAAGTTCTCCAGGAAACATAATCAACCCCATTTGATTCAAAAAAGGACAGTCAGCGGCAGATTGGGAATGTCATAGATAAAATAACAGCAGTACCGGCAGCTAAAATTCATGGAACTGTATGACCCAGCCTCTGTCCAAGCATTTTCATAGATTACCCTACCTGAACCTCAGACAGCTCAAGACACCATTATAATTCCTATTTTAAAGATGAGATCACTGAGGATTAAGGACATTAAGTGTCTTGTTTAGGATTCCCACCCACATAGCGGACAGCAGAGCCGTGTCCTCAGCTGCCACATGATAGGACTGCTGAGGTGGGAGGAAATGTCCCAAAGGAAACTTCTGTGTGAGCTTGGTGGGTGGGCTCTGTAAACTGCACTGGAGATGGGGCAAGAAACAGTGAGTTGTCACAATGCAAGATTTAAGGTAATGATATAGCCTGGGTCTGTGAGGATTCCTGGACTTTACTCTTAAAGATTAAGAACACTACACAGCCTTTTTGCTGGGATATGTTGTGAAAAGAGGACAGAACCAGGTTTAAACTATGGCACTGCATTTGGATAAATTAATTTAATTTCTCTGATCATAATTTGCCCCATCTGCAAAATAGGATTAATAAAATCTTGCCTGTAGGTCTGCCACAGGGATTGGATTTAATGCTAGCAAACTCAAATATAGTTATTGGGATTTCATTCTGTGAGGCCTGGAGTCAGGCATGGAAGGGTCTTTATGGGTCTCCTGTGGGCAGGCTACTGAGTGGTGACAGAGGAGGGCAGGTGGGGACACAAATGAGATACTACCACTGCATTCAGATGACTAAGTCCTCCTGGTTAATAGTAAATTATAAACAATACCCAGTACTCCTGGAAATGGATGGAACCTTAATGAAAAACTAATGCAGAAGGAAAAACAGTGTGCTCACCTCGCAAAACATAGGCAACTTTTTGGCAAAATCCACCACTCTGGTGATTGCTGGTGTGATGATTTTTGTAAAATGGCTGAAGGCTTCCAAGTCAACCTTACCACCTTCCGGGGCATTGACTATTGGTGCTTGTCCAATATCTTCTGGCTAAGGAGGAGAAACAAAGATTTAAGTGAAGAGGCTGAAGGGAACTTGATTTACCATTGTCATCCTGTGGCAGAAGATCTCTTCTGAACTGACATCTGCTGAAGTTTTCCATTTCTACTTTGTTTATTAACAAACTGTATGGCTTTCCCCTCATTTGCATCGTTATTTCTCGGAGCAGGGAAGCATGTGTTGGTTGTTGCTTTGTAGGTCCCCAAGGATAACATTCACAGGATTGGCCCTGTGGGTGGGGGAGAGGAAAGGAGGAAGAAGTTTTTGTTTCTGTGCATGTGAAGGGTGCACACTCAGGCAGGTGACAATGCAGGTGGTGGCTTGGTATGGCATTTTCAGAGCACTGCATTGTGGAGAGAATGTGGGCGAAGTGGGCACAGTGTGGGCAGGGACAGGGCCACCCAGAAAACCTAGCACCTGTGGATGCTTTGTGGCTTCTGACTCAGCTGCTAAGGCTCAAGTTTTGGTGGTCTAGGTGAGCACTGAAGGGGGCAATCTTGAGGCTTTCTGTAGGGAACTGAACTGGGCAAATGTGGCCAACCATAGGGCAGAGATGGAAATACGCTGGTGTTCACCATCCTTGGGGCACTTCTCTGCTGTTCACCTGCTCAGGAACCATCCATGGGCCTTGCTGGTCAGGAGGTAGAGGGCAGCATGGGCATCACCTGGGGACACAGGTCCCTCCCCCAACCTGAGTTGACAGAATCAGCATAGAGCAAGGGTGCCAGGGCCCCAGGAGCCATCCAACACCGTAGCCTCACATTCTGTGCTTCCTCTCAGGATTTCTCCTTGTGCATGCTGTCAGGAGCAGTCTTCTCTAGTGCCCTTTCATCTCTGTGATACTAATAACCGTTTATTTTGTGGCCTAGAAGAGAGTCAACTCCTGCACACACTGCTATCTCTCAGGTAATGCTTACACAATATGTGGATTACAGATCAGCAAAGAAGAGGTCAGAGCAACAACATTTGGTGAGTCCTGGCCTGGGAGGTGGGTGATCCTGAGTCCACAGGGCAGCTTTTGTAGGAGCCCCATCTCACGCCGCCACAGCAGGGCTTTCACTCCCTGACCATATTCTGATAGCAGGAAGTGGACTTTCTACTCCTCTTCACACTTCCCTGCCAGCCTCTCCAGCTGTTGCTCTGGAAGTGTGACTGTCACCCATGAGATGACAGACTCATGGCCTGCTTGATGGTGGTCACTTTACCTAGGGCCACTGTGAATAGACCTGAACAAAGCCTGGTCTCTTCAGGCACCCAGGGGAGGAAGCTGGGGAGGGTGAGCAGGAGGAACAGGGAGGAGGAACTGACACAGAGATCGAGTTGACCAGGACCTCTCCTCCTCAGAAGCAGCGCAGTGAGGACAGTGCCTACACCAAGATTATGACCTGATATCATGGCCCCCACACTTCACTGTACATCAGAAGCCCCTGATTTTTGGATCCCACTCCCAGGATTTCTGACTCAGTGGGGCAGCAGCAGAGCCCGAGAACCTGTGATCTAATAAGTGTCTCTAGGACACTGGTGGTCTAGGGTCACGTTTTGACAACACTGGGCTGGAAGCAACCAATGCTGGCTTGGAGAAGCCCAACGGGCATGGCTCTTCCTACACATCCCGTTACAGCTCACACCCCAGTTTTAGTAGGGAGAAAGCAGCAGAGAAGCATCTTATTTGCAAGTTGACTCCCACTAGGGAAAACAGAAGCAGCCAGGCCCTGGAAGGCTGCCAGAGAAAGCATGAATCTAGCCTCAAGGAGGACTTTTAAGCATGTCATGTGACATGGTACCTGCTAGCAGCATTTACTACTTTTTGATTATGTATAGGATCTTTGCAGTTTAGTATGTTGTGTTGCAGTGACTTAGTGGATGAAATCTAGTTTCTGCTGTGTTTTCATGGTGAGTGAATGATATTTTGGGTCACTGTGGATATGAGAAATCCATAAAAGGCTCCTAGACTTGCCTTTCCTAGATGTATAGAGAATGGATGGGCTAATGTGGGAACATTTCTTAGAAATAAAAATATTTGACAATGTGGTTTTGGCCTAGCTGAATCTAAAGGCCTCCCCAGTGAATACGGATGGATATAATCTGTTTCATTTAAATGGTAAATTTCATGTTCATTGAAATCTAGTGGGCTAATGCTGATGTTAGTTAATTTCATTTCATCTTTGGGTATGTAGGGTGTTTGAGTCACTATCTGTGACCTCTCCAAAGATTTGAAAAAAATAAGTCACGTAAAGCAATACGGCAACTTAACCTCTCAGATATAACGTCAGAGACTTTTCTGTTGTAAAATATATATTAGGGTAGGAAAAATTATGTATATATAAAACCTATGAATCAACACAATTTTATATCAGGTATGAGAAATTAAGGCTGAGTAATACGGCCTGTTTGTCACTTTCCTACAGATTTTTCATCTGTAAGGACAACATGCAATTCAATATCTGACTACAGTAGATATCTGATTATAGCCTTGTATACCACCCCACAAAGCACACTGCTCTTATACATGATGTGTACTTGGTCAGTTCAGGTACTGATGCTAAATCTCTGGTGTGTAGACTCACCAGCGCAGAACTGAGCGGGGAGGTCTGACTTTGTCTCTGGGGGTCCAAGTGCTCCAGCTTGCTCATGGGGGAACTTCCAACTCTCACCATGACTTCTTTCCTCTTTGTCCTCCATGGACCTATGGAGCCAGCCCGTGGACTTCATGTCTCCACCACAACTTGCTTTACATTTTTCCATTTTGCTGAAGCCTCTGCTTCTGTTTTTCATTTTTATCCATTCTAAGTCCTGTCCATTTTTCAAGACCCAAGTAAAAACCCTGTCATATAGATTTCTTTCTAGGGTATCCAAGTTTGAAATGATGTCTGCTTCACTTGAACATGCATGGTGGCTCACGTATATCATTCCTATGGCATCAGGCATTTACTTATCACTTATTATTATAGTTATTGTATATAGTTATACATCAATGATAAAAATTTTTCAAATGAGTGGAGAATGAGTTTGTGTGCTTTGGCTCCTATGTAAAAGATACTGACTCAGATGGTGGAGGATAGAATGCTTGATGATTGAATGAATAAATGATTATTCATACATTTATTTAGCCATTATTTGTTGAGCAAGTACTATAGGTCAGATCTTGTTCTAGAATAGATACTTGATCCTGAGATTACAGCAACAAACAGTGTATCAACAAGGAACCTGCAATGCAGTAAAGATAGACAATAAATAGGAAAAATACATCTATCAAAGGATTACGCTTTGTGATAAGCCTGGAGGTACTTCACAGGTACCTGGCGGTGGGGTGGTCAGCCAAGACCTCACTGAAAAACACTGTGTGGGTTTTGACCTCAATAATTTTAAAGAGGTAACTTTAACCAAAACTGAAACCAAAGGAAGAGTATTTAAGGTGAGGGAAAAGCCAGTGCCAAGTTCCCAGAAATTCTTGTGGGAGGAACCCATCAATGCCATGACTTGAAGAAGAGGCAGGCAGGGTCCCATCATGCTGAACCCTGTGGACCAGGGAGAGGACATCGGCTTATTCTCAATGCAAATGCGGCAGCCACTGAAGGGCTATAGACAGTACAGATGCATGGGGAGATTTATGGTCACACGTGGAAGAGATGGGCCATAGGAAAACAGCGGCTGACAACAGCAGTAATTTGGGTATGCTGAAATGGTCTGGTAGCATGGATGGACGAAAGCAGAATTTGAGATGTGTCTTGGGGACTAAGATGGGGGTGAGGGCTCCATGGTGACTCACTTTGGCAGGGGCGTGGAGAGATGCAAAAAGAGAGTGAAGAGTGTGTGTTGGGGTGGCATCCACCCTTGCTTGGCATTTGGGGAGGCTGGTGTTAAGTGTCAATTAGCTGGCTCTGCTTTGTTGCATCAGTGTTGTTCAAGCTAAGCAGGAAATTCTGCCAGTTGACCTTTTCTCAAGTGGCTGGCTGGCTCAGAGGCAAGGATGTCTTGGCCTGACCTGGTAGCCCTGGGGCACATGCCAAGTAGGGAGGGGTGTTCACTGGTATCTTCTTGCACCTTTGCAAGGCTGGGCAAGAAAATATGGTGAATCAAGATTCTGGGGTCTTGAGAAATGATGTCAGGCTCACACTTTTCCTGAGATGAGCAGGAAAGATAGCGAAGGTGGTAGGGATGACGCATATAGTAACAACATGTGTGGTTGTTAACGATATGTCAGGTACTGTTAGATCCTGCGTAACTTCTATTTTTATACTATCTGGTTAGAGAAGTAAAATTACTTACTCAAGATCAGCAACAGAGGCAAGTGCTGAACCCAGGATGTTTGGTTCCAATGTCTTTTCTCCTAATTACACTGCTCCCAACCTTCTTCTGAAGTGATGACAATTTTGGGTGATGGATGCCTTCCTGACTTGATTGCACTATTCAAGCAAGGTTGAATCACCCACCTTACCTGATCTTTCTGTTTATGCTGCTTCTCTGAGGCTACCCTATTTGAGAATATGGGAAATGAGACAGTGACTCTGCCAGGAAAAAGTGGGCAAACTTGCTTTGATTTTAATGGCCACATTTCAAACTTGGTAGAAAGTCCATTCAAAGCCACTCCTTTACATACAAACTAAGGGAGAGAATAATGAGATGATGTTGACATAGGACAATGCTGAAAGGCAGGACTGTTGCCATGCGATTTATGCCAAAGCAAATGACTTGCTGAAACAGAGAGGCAGAGAAGTGAGTTATCTTTGACGCAGAGACCCGCTTTCCCTTGTTTGACACTGGACACTGCTTTTTTCTTTTCAGCCTGCTTCTCCTCTCTGTCATCACTACCATTACGCAAATTGCTCATGGTAAGACGGCATTTTTGTAGCCTCAGATATTTGAGTAGGTTGGAGAGAACTAGAAAATTGCATAATTTAAATGTTTTGAAGTAATTTTAATACAGGGCTCTAGGTTTATTATTAAAATTTGCATAGATTTTGCCAAAGTTCCACATTTGCCAAAGACTAATTCAGATTTAAAACCCAGGTCCAACCATCAGTCTCTTTTTCTGGCTTGAGTCCTAGTCCTCGGGTAGAAAGAGATTAAGTAGCTCCTTTGGGGGAATAAACTACTAACCCACTCCAGGTAAATGAATACTTCTAGCTTTTATGACAAGATGTAATTTTTAATCTCTCATGACATGTTACTATACCATTATTCACATAATAGATATTTTCAAATTATTCTTCAAAATAAGATGGGATATCACCACACAGAAATCAATGAAATAATATGTGTAGCAATGTTGCAAGCATAAAAGGGATCAACCACACGGGAAGTTCAAACCCCAGTGTGTAAAAGCTTCAGACATGGACACCATTTAGCAAAGCTGTCTTCAAGTAAGGATTCTTAATATCCTAGCAGGCAGAAGGATAGTTTTTATTTTGAGCATAAGTATACCAACAGAGGCATCCCACTGCATGAAGTATTTATAAATATATAAATGTAGTAGGATCCAGAACTTAACTGTACTATCTCTAAGGATGGGCCAGTGGAACAACTGTATGTTTAACTTAACACACACAAATATATTTAGTTGTGTGTATCTATTGTTGTATAACGAACATCCCCAAAACACAGTAGCTAAAGCAGCAATTTAAAATGAACTTTTAGTGTTTAGGGGTGTCTTTTATTCAGAAGTCATCAAATAGCTTTAAAGACTGGTGTCATTGGAGGTTTTTGTCCTTTCTTTCCTGGTGCCTGGGTTGGGAATCTTGTCTTTCCCATGTGGCTGGCTTGGGCTTCCTCACAGCATGGTTGTCTCAGAGTCCTTGGATATTTTTACATAGTACTTGGTTTCCACTCCAAGTGACCCAAATGGGAACTATAAAGCTTATTATAACCCAAACTTAGAAGTCTCTCAAGCATCTTTTCTGCCAAAATCCATTGTTCAAAGGAATCATAGAATAGCCCAGATTCCAGGAGAGGTGGAAGAGATTAAACTGGCTGAGTATACAGGTAGGAGCTTGGGAATGGCAGCCATCTTGAAGGCCTGCTACCATGGGTTCCAGCTACTGGAACTACAGGGGGTGGCACTGAAGTATTAATATTGAAGGGAACATGGTTTCTGCACACTAGGAAGTGCAGAGGTAACACAGAACAGAAGGCAATTGGCTGCTGCACATGAAGTGCATTGTAGAGACAGATGGGACCCCTCTAGGAATACTTGGCTTAGAGAAGAAATTATTTGTATTTGGATCAAGAATGAAGATTTCTTAAACAGATCAAAGATCTACAATAGATACATTTTATGACAGCTCCATGGGGCAGGGAAACTGCTATGTAAAACAGGTGCTCTGAACTGTAAGTTTCCCAAAGAAAACTTGTGAGTGGAGAAACTCATGGACCTGGTAAAAAAACAACTCAGGACAAATCATTCTATGTCATGCTATTTGGTTCCTTAAGGACCAGTGAAAACCATCAGGAGCCTATAAATTACAGGTACAGACCTCAAGGCTAGTTCTCATTACTAAATAATGTGCTGTCTTTGCCAAGGGAATCACCAGGTGAGGTGAAATATAATATTTTCTTAAGAGGTTGACTTTCTCAGTTTTTAGTCACAGTTCAAATGTCACCTCCTTGGACAGCCATGTTCTGTCTACATGTTCCTGTCTAGAGAAATGCAGGCTTTCTCTATTTCCAGTTCACAAATACTCTGTCCTGTCATAAGGTTTATTGCCTTTCTACTGCCTGTATTTATCTTGTTTGTTTAAACCTTATTGTCTATTCCCTTTTTGTAATGTGCTGACTTACTTCTTGGCACATAGTAGTTGTTTCTTAAATAAAATAGTAAGTACTTCAACTCTGGAAAGAAGCACCTTAATGGTCATTGAAGTTGATTTAATGACTACCTTTGGTGACTACTGGAACTAGTATCCATTCTTTTTTGAGAGTAAGTAAAACAAAAATGTAAAATTGTCTAAGAGAAGTCCAAGATTGGTCTGACATCCTTATTCTATACTTAGAATTAAGCTTGAATTTCACTCCATCACTAGTTAAAGCCAGAAAGCAACACGAGGGTTGGAAATGGAGGTCAATCATTTGTGGCTGACACAATCAGAGTAATGACAGATTTAGGCTTGTGGTTAGGGCTGTCTTGCTCTGCCCTATATATATATTGGGTAACACTGATCTATTGATTGAGAGTAGTGGTTTTTTTTTTTTTATTTCCTGGCAGATACAGCAGCATGGGGGTAAGCATGTAAAGTGAATGCACCATAATGCTGCCCTTGCAAGAAGCTTGTTTCTTTCAGAGGCTTTTTTATGTTTGTGCAGGGGACAAGTTGCATGGTATACATGGCTGCTACCATGTATGACCTAAACTTCTCTGCCTCAGCTTTTCCTGCTGTAAAGTGGAGATAACAATCATATCTCCCTCTAGGGTTGGTACAGGAAGTTACTATACGGAAAACTTAGAATAGTACGTGGCATATAGTAACGGTCATCTGAGGATTTGCTAGCATTGCTATTTGTGCTGGCATTATCATTTCATTGCAATAAAATCAATAGCTTCAGGACAGGTAGATTATATGTGAATGTTGTCTTTCCTAAAACTTCTGGAAAGTTGTTATATTAACAAAATTTTTCATTGTAGCAGTGATCTAAGATACAAGGATAATTCTACTACTGCATTTCTGTGTCCAGATTGGAAAGTCCTCTGACATTCCCTGGGGATACAAATGGACCTGCAGGATACCTGATGTCAGGGTTCAGCAGCTGCTCATAAGGGCTTCCAGTCACTACCCAGGAGCAGGGTCAGTCTCAGAGAGGGCCAGACATGGGCTGGGGCAGGTAGTACATTTGATGAGGTGTGTGGAGAGCCTGACTTGGAACCAAAAGACCTGAGGTACCTTTGGGACCTAGTTGAGTCCAGTTTTAGCATGTGATCTTGGCTGTTTGCATTTTCTGTAAAATGAGGCTAAAATTCCCACCTTCTTCAAAATACTCTGAAGTTTATATGACAAATAAATGGGAAGGCTTTCACAACTGCACATTTGTATAAAACTATCAGATAACCAATATTCCACAAGTCTGGGTGGCTTTGTTTTCTCTACACGCCCTCTCTGCATCTCTGTTTCTTCATATCCACTGTCTTTCTGGACTCAGTCTCATTATTTTAAGCTAAAAATTTTGACCTCTATTGATGTAAAAACACATTTTTGATATGGGACACATCACCCTAGAGGTTATTCTAATGCATAATGGTATTTTGGGGTAATCTTAGAGGCTTAAGCATGTATCTACTAGACATCTGAGAGGAGAAATGAACGTAAAAATGGAAACCTCGGAGGTAGTGAATTTCACATAGTTTGTTCAAAACTGGCCTGAGTAACAGCAAAAACAAACTGAAGTAGTGCTGGCCAAGAAACAGCTTTGGAATCCAGTGAATTGTGAAGGTAAGAGGGGCATAAAGTCTCACATAGGCCTGGTTTGCACCTGGTCCTATCAGAGGTGCTGTTTCTCTGTCAGCGAAATGGGACATCACAACAGCACCCTGGGATTCCGAGGACTTGCTGAGCTGAGGGAGAAAGCACCTACTATGTGACCAATAGTGAGCTATGCCTTACCAGGAATTTCCGTTTTTGCTTCCAATGGCTGCCCTGGGCATTGGTGGCCACGTGAGCTTCAGTGACCGTTTTGATGAGCTCCCACTCCTCATCCGTGGGCTCTGGCTTGTGCCCTATGGATTTCTGCAGCTCTTCCCGTCGCCTCTTTTCTCGGTTCTCCTCAATCAGCTTCCTCTTGGCCAGCCTCTTGCTGTCATCCAGCACCACTGGGAGGGAGAAAGGTGAGGATACACGTGGCTACTCCCCAAACATGTGGCAGGCTACACATGCTGGAGCCTCAGGGGTGGGGGTCACCGAGGCACAAGTAGCTCAGTGGGTTTCTGAAGGGGAAAATAAGTCACACCGGGGATTTTCTTCCTTTGGAAGCAAACTGCTGCTGGCCAGCCACTGTCCAACATAAGCCCTTGTGCCAAATTCCCAGTGCCCAATCAGCTTTGCAAAACAACCCTCTGGGGATGCTTGGGTTTTGGGCCCTCGAGCTCTACAGGAGGCAGCCTGAGGAAAGAGTGTGGCACACAGAAGCAAAGTCTGTTCTATTTGCAGGATTACACATAAATAGGTCTAGCCAGCCATCTGAGTTCACTCAGGGCTTTTCTTCTTCCCTCCTTCCTTAAGATTCCTCTTAAAATAGTAAGGAGTCTTCAAGTCAAAGAGAAATTGTGGAGCGGTAATGTGAGGCTCCTGGTTCCCTCTTCAGAGGCAAAGAACCCCAACTCCTCACTGGCTCCTTAAAGCCTCCACAGATACTCATTTTACAGTGCTCCCTATTTGATCAACTGGCGATGGTAATTAAAGAGCCAGGCTTCGGACTCTAGACAGCCATGGATTTGAATTCTGACTCTAGTACTTGAGGCTGTGTGGCTTCTGAAAAGTTGCTTAGGCTCTCTGCACTTTCTGTCATTTTTTCCTAAATGAATTGAGATCAGTAATATACTGCACAAGGTACTGAACGTTGTAATGCTCAGTAAATATAACCACAACCATTATAATTTATGCAAAAGGGAAGCAAGAAGAGCAGATAGCAATATCCTGTGCTTCCATGATTAACTTCCAAAACAAAACCATTTCATTTGTCTCATAGGAACTATCAGTGGAACGGGAAGTTGCAGAGTCACAGTGTTTTAGACCCAGAAGAGACCTTAGACATCACCCAACTTCCTCCTTTCACAGAAGAGGAAACTGATCCAGAGGGGTTGTGATTTGCTCATTGCAGGGCCAGGCCTAAGCCTTTTGACTTCAGTTCTACAACAGCACTGTTCTAGGACCATTTCTTAATGACCTGAGAGGAAAAGTGGGGAAAAAACCAGAAGAGGAAGAGAATCAAGATGCCCAGATAACCCATAAATAGAATACCAAACCCCAGGGAATCTAGACTGGACTGGGTTGTCAAAATGAGCATTTATAATGGTCAGGAATATGGATAAGGTCTGATGAATCACTTTGGTTCTTGCAGCAAAGGGTAGTAAATACCCAGGGCCACATTATCTGAATGTGTCTGGTGTGTCAAGAGACTGTTCATATCTGACTTGAATTATCTAATGTAATCCTAGACACAGCTCTCCAACTTTTATAGTGATTTCAGAGCAGAGGACCTAAGGCTTAATAGGGGAGGTCACACAGCCAATAGCTGGCAGTGCTAAGCCTTAAGGAGTACTTTTTTAAAATTATAAAGCCTGAGCTCTTAAAATGCCTCCAAACAAGAAAGGAACACCCAGAAGTTTATCTGCACACAATCTAGATGAACAGTTTCTTAACCTCAAAACACTTGTATCTTAAGTTCTTAATGAAACAATGGAATACTCGATCAATCATGAACGGTTCATATCTAAGTGTTTGGTCCCAAGTTAATCATATCCACATATCCTTCTCAGGCATATTGTTGGCAAGCCTAAAGCCTTTGGAAGATAAAGAACAGACACAGCTAGAGGTGGGGATTAACTCGGGATTTTCAGCCTAACACCATAACACGACCCTCTTCCTTTTGAATGATTCTCCATTCTGTCTTCCTTATCATGCAAAACAGGATATTCCATAGATTTTTTTTTTTTTTTTTTTTTGGTGGTGGTTGTTCTCTCAGAGAGAATTCTATTTATCACATAAGGTTAAGGCCATGATTATTTCCTTTTATATCAGGAAGAATCCTCACTGAATTTTCTCTTTCTTTCCTTTTTTTTTTTTTTTCCTTTTTAATTTTTAGCTAACAGTTGGAATCCTTCACTGATGTGCAAAAGTTTATGGCAGTAGAAATCATTAATATTGATGTCTAACAAAAGGGAAGTCTTGTTGTGAGAAACACAATTCTTCTTTTTATGATTAATTAAGGTGACCGGTGTAAGTCCCTCACACAGTGCAGGGAGGAGAGACCCCAAGGGCTAATCTCACCACCATATGCTGTGGCATTGGGAACACTGGGTATGACAACTTCAGTGCCAATGTCTTTATGGCTAAAAATACAAGAAGCAACCAAATTAAGGATGCTTTGTGCAATAGCATTCAACTTTACTTTTTGCCTATGCCCTGTCTCTAAAAATGTCTGTAAAATAATTTACGTCTTTGCTTTTGAAAAAAATAAGAGAACTAGACCATGAGGCTCTAATCAAATGAAGCTTGTGTGTGAAAATTACTTTACTAAGTTAAAGGGATGAGACCTCTTATTTGTAACATACTGCAATGTTGCTAATAGCTCCCCCTCAACCCTATAGGGATAATTTAACCACTTTATTTCCCTCCTAATCTGGCTACTTTGAGAGTTAACAGTTGATAAGACAGGAGTGGGATAAAGCCTCTCTGGGTGGCAAGTGGGATGTGGGGAGGGATGAGGCTAGGGAAGTCATACATTCCTTCTCTGTCTCTGTGGGTCTCACTGCTTTTCTGCCTAGTTGATTTTGAATCAAATCCTTTCCCAATCAACACTCATTGAATATGAAGCAAATGAAGATGATCTACTTACAATCTGTTGCCATGCCAACATAGATACATTTCTTGAAGCGACATTCCTGGCACTGATTTCGTGTGACTTTGTCTATGACACATTTTCCTTCATATTTACAGGAATAGGATGGATGGAGATTTTTCTGAATGGTTCTTCTAAAGAAACCCTACATGAGAAAGAAAGACCCAAGACAACAGTTTCATATTTTCTAGAGAGAATGATTCTGGGATTTTGAGTCCATATAATTATGAGATAAATTGTTTGGGGCCTTAAAATACAATTGGGTCTCTAGGTTTATCTACTTCCTCTTATATGGGACAGTAGGCCTAACGGGAATCTAAGGAGCTGAAGGAGAGGTCAAAGGACTGCACAGTCAATACCATTTTGAATTTTATTCAAGGCAATGAAGCCAATAGAAGAATCTAGTGCTTGATTTTGTTTTATATACATTGAATAATACTATTTTTCATAGCACGTTATAATTGTGCTGCTCAATTAAGTTATGAGAAGCTTTACTAATTTATATTAGGAAAAGGAAGAGCTAGATACCTGTGATACTTTACTACTTAATAATGTAATCATTTAGTAATTAAGTAGATGAATTACCTGCATCTAGAAATTTCATTTAATTCTTGTTTTGACTGTTGAGATGGACTTCAGTCTTTCAAACATTCTCCAGATGTTTCACCAAATATTTTCCAAAACTAATTGCATTGAAGTTTTTCTTTTCATAACCCTCTTTTACTCTGGTATCTATAGACATACACCTATAAATTTAGTATATTTCTTCCTTTCTGAAGTGTACTATTTAGTGTACATAATTTAGTGTACATTAGTGTACATAAAATCCTTAAGGGTGTCCTACTAGAGCTTTTGTGGGTGTGACCCCTGTGTCTTAGCAACTATATTCTGAACTGTGGGAATTAATAACGGCAGTGGACCATTGTAAGGAGTACACAGCAAAGAGCTGTTGGACGGATTCCATACCTTCTGCTCCCCACGATCTAATTTATAAGGGAGGTACTCTTAATATCTCCATTGTAGAGATGAAAAAGCTAATTATTAGGTTAAATTGCTTGCTTCAAGTCATGTGGTAATTGCTGGAACTTGGTTAGGATATGCACTCCAAATCTCATTTGCTTAACAGCTTATATAACAAAAAATGAAGTGAATAGATTATAAACAGTCCCCTCCTATCCACCACTCAAAAATCTCCATTTTCTCTGTTTTGGTAGATTAGCAAGGTCTTAGAAAGTTCTCTATTAAAATGTGAAGGAGGCCTCTTTGTTAGATAAATGGTGGACCTGAAATGTCAATTGTCCTTGCTTTAGCCCACATTTTTATTACCTCATTTTTAAATTTAGATTATGCATATATGCACACTTGTACACAAAAGCTCTTCCAGATAGTAAAAAGGTCTACAGCAGAACAAACTGTAAAAGCACTAGGGAAAACTGAGACTTGTAGGTTTGTTTTGGGGACATGTGTAGAAATCCTTTATCATTTCCACTGTTCAAGTTCTAGTAGGAAAACTGTCATGTTATTGGATTTCACATCCTTAAACAACTGAGTCTGTGAATCTGTATGATACAGATACATGATTGCAGGAATCACACACAGACATCAGTATGGGATGTCAGCAATGTTTCCTTGGGTCTTCAGGGTGGGTAAATCCTGCCAAAACTTCAATATTGGAGTATGTGACATGACTGAAATGTATATTTCTCTGTGAACTTCCCTCTTCCAGGTGCCCCTCTGACCAAGGAGGGTAGAAGAGGGCAAAAGAAATCCAGAGATTCCTGGCAGATGACATGTAGGGGAGGGATAGGCCAGTACTCCCCTCCTGGAGGAAATACCAAAATGCAAGACCCCCAGCAAAGGAGTGTTGAGTATTGATATAAGGACAGGAAAAGGGTATCATTGTTTGGAACTGGGTTGACTTTTTCACCCTCACTCTGATGCCCTCTTATGCTAAAGGAGTAGGGGGCCAGGGCCTTCTGAAAAGTGAGACAGTGCTCAGGAGAAGGTAAGGTTTGATATGCCAGGAGGAGAAGCACCTATTTCTCCAAAAAGGCTACGCTGTGTACTTTTTAATGGAATAAGTGAAGTAATTTATACAAGGCTCATTTTGGTACAGGGGTTGTGGCCTGTGATGCCTCTTCCTAGAAACTTCATGGGCCCAGTTCCTTTTATACTGTTGCCTCTCCTAAGTACAGGTAAGCATATTTTTTACATATGACGAAGGACCACTTTATATGAATAAATGTAAACATGCTAGTCCCTTACATTTTAAAAATGACAAAAGTTAACTCCTAGAAATAAACTTGGTAGAAGACATTTATAATACTATTTACATATAATATATATTTATTTATAAGTTAGTTATTTAAAAGAAATCCTTTCAGTTCAGCAGTATAGCCTGTGATGGACTGGATTCAATCCTCAGCATGCTCCCTGCCCTCCAAAAAGAAAAAGCCGATAAGAGATGTCTTTGTGAATAAGGACATATATTTCCTTGATTTGTGTTGAGCAGAAGTATTAGTTTCTAAATCAATATTAGACCAGTTTCTGTGCATTCTGAGAACTGAACCTATTTCTTGGTGGCTCAAGATGATGCGCTAATCAGAAGAGCAACACAGCACCCTCCTAGTTTGTTATTTGTGCAGCTTTGGATATTTCTTAGAAAATAGTTCATTGTGGGGAAGCATCAACATTTCTTCTATACAATATGTAAAAAAAAAACTGGCATAGCACAGTAGACAAAATATGTCCAAAAGATTTCACTTTTGTCAAAGTAAAAATGGGCAAAAATGATTTTATCCGCATTGTATGGGGTAGAAATATTTTTAAATTGCAGATTTGAGTCAACAGTATAGAATATACCCTTTTCATCTTTCACCACTCTTAAAAAGTATGTATCAATTGAAAAATCCTTGTCTTTTTCCAAGATACTTTGTATTATAGTAAATCATCTGCAACCCTCACCACTGGCACCCAAGGAAGGCTTCTTTTTGGCTTTTTTGGTGGAGGCAATCCTTGAAACAGTATTATTCTCATCAGACATAGAGGTTCAAAAACCTTTTGCTATGATTTTTCTTTAAGAAAACCACAGCTGAATCAGGCTCCAAAGAACCAGTAGTCCTGGGAAAAGAGGCTAGTTGATTTTAGCTAGGCAGAAACTGCAGTAAAAAGACTCAATTCTCCCTTTGTTTAGGGGCAATTGCGACTGCATTTAGTCCTCTAGACGGCACAGTTAGCCTGTAGAGTCCCTCAGCAGAGTTAAATATTAAATGCAATTTTCATTAGATTCTCTCCTAGAATTCAAAATGTATCATAAGAAGTTGATTTAAAAGACTGAGTGCTGCATAAGCAGGCAGGTAAAGCCTTTTCAATTAAGGCTAATATAGAAAAAAAGGCCAGTTTCAATCGCTGAGCTTTTGGAATTAGAGAATATATCTAGAGTTATATAGTTCTATTACTTTCAGTTCAAGCCAATAAAACTGTGCTTTCAAGACAGGGTTTGCAAATCTTCTAATTAATAAATAGGCAGGACTTGTAATTAGCTGCATTAAATTTGTTAAGACATTATTTTCATGGCTGCAATGGCAACCTTTTGTCCAGTCTTTGTTGAAGAACTACAAAATCCAGATCAAGGGGGTCTGGATGAAGGAAGAACATATTCTACCATATTCCAAACACAGCGTTGTAGATAAAAGGCCTTGGGACCTTAAAAATGACTTCTTTCCAGTGCATGTATAATTGCAACATTCTTAGCCACTTTCCCCTAAGCATTTCCTAATTTCATGTACAAAAAGTAGGTTATTTGCATGGAAAAATTTCTACTAGGGAAATGGAACCCTCATTGGTGTAACATGAAGTAACATGTTAATTTTGGGAGTTTAGGGGTAAGGGCAGGAAGAAAGGGGGTCTCAGAGGAAGGAAAGAGGAGGAATTTAGGTAGGCAAAGGAAGAGGGAAGATGGAGTTTTCTTTTTCAAATTTTAGTACAAATTTTGCTTAAGAATTTACTCCTTTGATAGGCTTTAAATATAAAACATTTAACAAGAAAATAATTTAAAAAATCCTTCCCTGATTTTAAACACAGCATCATTTATGAGGCATTAGCTGAATGCTGAATACAGCACTGGGTTAAGCTTTCTTCTTGTTTATGATAGGCCTTATTTTCTAGGCTAGTTTGTTTGTCCAAGAAATATTTTCCATAAAGCTCACCTTAATTTTGTTGGTAAAGATTGTAATTAGTCAAATTTAGACTCACTTCTGGGAAGTGAATGGACTGCTGTTCTCTGGTATGTTCTAGTTAAGTATCTCTTGAAGAAAGGTCTGCAGAAAATACAATTACCTGATGTATGACCTGAATCTCCTTAATGCAGGTTGTGCAGAAAGCCACTTTGGATCAACTTCAGAACATAATTGAACCTAAGTAGCCTCAAAGATATTTTCTAATGGAACACTTAAGTGGGCACATTCATGCAGATTAACAGTGGAAACAGCCTGTGACAGAGCAAGCCCCAACTCCTTCCATTTTGGAGCTAAAGCAGAAGAAATGCTAGTGTGCTTTTAGCTTGTTAATTTCTTGAGATGATAAAGTATTTAAAAATATATGCTCTTTAAAACTCAAAGGTTTTATTAATTTCTTTTGATTTTACCTAGCCTCTTCCTGTTTTAAAAACACTTGCTAAAGAAACCAGACCTCACACTTGCAAATTCAGTTTCTGAACATGTCAAAAATCAGAACACCACCAGATCCATGGATGTCACAGGTGAGGAATGCAGAAATCTAATTCAAACTCAGATGTTGAGTTCCAGTAGCGCCCTGGGAGGGGTCAGCGGGGCTCTTACCTTGCAGCCTTCACATGTGATACAGCGATAGTGGTAACCAGTGGCTTTGTCACCACACACTACGCAGAGCTCATCCTTGTCCAAATAGCTGGGGATGTACCCTGGGAAGGAGGTGAAAGGAAGAAGATGAGATATCACGTGCAAGTCAGAGGTACACCAGGACTAAGGCTATCTGACCAGTGACAAAATTGGTTTGCCAAGAGGAGGTGATGACAGGAAACTTAATGAAATGATCAGCAAGGCAAGTATCTTACATTTGCAGAATAAGCACCGGCCTGAAAGCAGATGAGATCCTGGCTGCTGTGCAGATGAGATGAGCCAGGGAGGTTGTGGTAGCCCATGAATCAAGTAGAGAGACCAGGATTTAGACTACCTGGAGCACTGAATTCTGGAGCACCCAATATCCTTTACATGGCTTATTTCAGAACTTGTTCTTGAAAGACTTGAACCACTTTGGGGTCAAGGTACTGTGCATTGATTTCAGAAACCTTCATAGCTGGGAAGGTCCTGGGCGATCTTCAAGTACCTCTGAAGTGAAGAAACTGGCCTTTTGGACTAGACCTTCCTCAAGGTCACACTGGACTTTCCTAACAGAGACAAAGCCCAGGGGCTATTAACTTCTAATGCCCAGGATAAGTTATGCTGGCATTTTCTAAAGATAGAGATTTAAATAGAATGATAAAGGCCATCTAAAACAATGTGGTACACTTAAGATATTCTAATACACAATCCAACAACATTGAGTAGTATGAACTAATAGTGGTTCCTTGAAGAAAAGAAAATCCAACCATTGTAAGTTCTTTCTTTAGGGTGTTTTTAGTTTGTCAGTTTAGATTCCTTAACTCAGGAAACTGAAGTTAAAAAAAAATAGAAGCTACATGCCTGTCTTTGTTTCTTTTTCATAGAGACAACATTCCCCCTTCCCCTCCTCTGCTCCATGTCCAACAACTTGCTTCAGAAGGGAAAGTTCAGTTCCACATGTATCAGCTCTTGATCACAAAAGCACACAGTTTTAGATAAGGCCAAAGCATCAAAACAAGGCACAATTGTTTTGGATGTGAAGAAGACAGAGACTGAGAAAACAAAATCATCCATCATGGTTCTTAGGAAGCTCTGATTCAGCAAACTTGGTCTCAGTAAAAGATCAGTTAGATTGAAATGACTGGTAACTTACTGTACATTTTACCATGACATTTCCACAAACCTTTTACTAAACTAGGTTGCTCAGGGCTTATTTTTCAGAGAAGAAAAGCCAGAAACAAAACAGAAGAAAATGAATCCTTTTCGTAATTTCTTAGCGATTACTTTGCCCAGACTTTAATTTAGAAAAAAATCTTACTTCTTGAGAGGTAGGTAAATGATTTCAAAGTAAGATTTGCTAATCTCTAAAATTATGTCACAGCTTTTCTTGCTTTACTTTGGCTTCATGCAAATCATGATTCATCTGTTGAGTTCACTTCAAAACTCTCATCAGACATTTTAAAAAGAGAATTCTGGGCGGGATCTAGACAAGAAAAAAGGGAACTGATAAATGGCTTTCTGTCATTCAATCTCTCATCTATTCATGAATCAGCAAACATTTATTTAGCATCTACTACACAGGTGCAAAACACGACTGTATGTACTTTGAAGACAAAAAAGAATGTGATTTCTCCCTTTGGGGAATAAGCAACTGAGTTATGTTTTTCCAGCTCTAGTCTTTTTCTAATAATATAAAAAGGAAAACATGATGAAAAAAACATGAAAATGTGCTCAATATCACTACAGAAAAATGAAAATTAAACAGTAAAACATCAGTTCATATTTACAAAGCATTTTCCTGAAAATGACATAATAACAAGTGGTGGAGAGGACATATAGACACTACTTAGAAAGTAATTTTTAAACTACATGCTAACATATGCATCTTCCTGGAAAAGACAGATGGATTACATTGTATTGATACTGTCAGGAGAGCTTAACATCTTAATCTCTTAGTTTGCTCAACTATGTACAGCTGATCTGACAGAGTAAAGATTTCACAGTCCTTGGTATCAAATGTGGCCTACAGAGATAAGGAAGAAAGAGGTCTAAGCCATTTTCCTCTATTCTCAGGTATAGGAATTGACTGTAACACAGTTGGGCACTGTGTTGTTTATGGGACATGCCATAGGCAAGGCCACAAAGCAGCAGCTGAGAAGGTTAATCATAGTCGGGGATGTGGGGTAATCCACCTTCACCTCACCATACCTCATCCTACCTCAATGCACCTGCTAGTTTCGTCTTCTGGCATGGGCAGTAGGACACCGAAGAGTTCCTTTTTTTCTATAGCTCATTTACTTAGGTTTGACCTTTAAGGTTCTTTTAAGTCCTAGAATCTAACACTAATTCAGAAAGTGGACTGGGCTCTTTTTATATTTTGACTGTTCAGAGAAAGGGGATTTTGCTTTACTCTTTTATTTTTCCTAGATTATTTTCTTGGTAGGTGGAAGTGACTAAATGTCTTAAATCATGAAATCTACAGCAATGTCTACTTAAGTTAATGGTAGCTGCTTACATGATCATACTAGTGTCCCTACTCATTGCTTTGTGTTCTTTATGATACTAATTTTGAACCATCTTATTTATCTACCATAGTCAGTCACAAGCAATGATACATCAATCATTATGTCTTAGTCCATTATTCATCATGAATTCTCACCAGGGAATAACATCCCTCACATAATGACTAGGTAGGGAGAGATTCTCTTCAGGTTAATGGATGCACTGGACATATCACATGTTCCTGGATCCTCTTATAGAACCTATTTCCTACTATTTAAGTTCAAAGTCACAATCTTTTATTTGTTTTCATACTCACTACATGGGTCACATGCCCAATGAGGAAAATGCACATGGAACATTAGTTCTGTTACCATGCCTAGACACTAACGCATGTCACAGCGTCAGTGTCACATGTGACACAGGTCTGAAGCCTCTTTACCTGAGGTGCTGCATCTGCATGGTGTCCCACATAGCTGCTGAAGAAGCCTGGATGCCCCCCACCGAAACAAGACCCATAATAGGATGTGACGGTTCATGTATTTTACCCAGTTTTTATTTGCTCACACACATTATTTTTCAGAATTACACTGTCACTTTATCAAATACATTTTATGAAAGCAAATTCCATCTGCTTATTCAACAAAGGACTTAGATTTTGGGGGGCTGGCATTTGATAATCTTTGATGAATTGCTGAATATCTTACATGTAAAATAGGCTGACATGGTAAAATATTACCTTTCAAAAAATCATCTTTTGGCCAAGGACTTAGCCCAGCAACCTAAGCGCCTGCCTGGCAAGTGCAAGGTCATGAGTTTGATCCCTGGTATAAAAATATCATCTTTTGGTAAGAACTTTATTAAGATATAATTCACATACCATGTAATTAAATGGCTTCAGAGTTGTAAACTGTCATCACTATCAATCCCAAGAAGAAATTTCATACCTTTAAGAGTCACCCCTCATTCTTTCCTTCTCCTCCACTCTTTTTGTCCTCAGCAACTGCTAATTTGTGTTTTGTTTCTACAGATTTGCTAACTGGACATTTCATACAAATGGGATCATACAGTATGTGGCTTTTCACTTAGCAGAATGTTTTCAAGATTTATCTATTTGCAGCTAACAGTAATCTTACAAAATTTGATTCTGAGAGACTTGAGATGTGGAAGGGGAAACTTGCACATTTGCACTATAAGTTGTATAACAGATAATGAGGTTGTCTTCTTAGTGTTTGCTAAATTCAATGCTTTCTCCTACATGGGTAAAATCGGAAACCTGGCTAGTTTAATTATTGTGAGTGAATTCTAATAACATGGTAGAGCCTGAAAACAAGTACTGTGGAACTTCTTGACAGACACGTGACCCTTAGGTAATAAATATAAAGTAGATTAATCATTATGATAAATCTAAAATAAAAGGTGATGCTCAGGAAGGAGGGTAGGGGTGCCTTTTCCATCTGATTAATCTTACTTTCTAGGTGAGCCCTTTTGCCTAGAGAACGAATCCTGGAGTTTTAAGGGAGTCATCATTATCCATGATAATGGCAAATTCTCTTGGCAGCTCAAAGAAGTAAAATATTTGCAGGCTATACTGTTTTTTTTTTTTTTTTTTTTTTCTGTTTTTATCGGTACTGGGGATTGAACTCACGACTGCCTGCTTGCAAGGCAGACTCACGACTGCCTGCTTGCAAGGCAGGTGCTTATGCCACTGAGCTAAATCCCCAGTCCCAGGCTATACTGTTTACTTGAGCTGATAAAGTAGTAAAGAAGCCTGATGAATAACTCCCCTCACCCTGTAAATAGTCAAAATTAACTCTGATCCATCTTTAGAACTAAGAACTCAGAGCCAGCAAAAACCCTGGATAGGTTAGGATTCAGGATGAGACTATAGTTTAACACTTTCAAAGAAACCACTGAACTATTAGCATGCTTAGTCATTCTATTTATTTCTCAGTACTGGGAATTGAACTCAGGGACTTTGCACTGAGTTATATCCCCAAACCTCCCACCTTTTAAAAAATTATATGGATATTTATGTTTAAGACAGGGTTTTACTAAGTACCTAGGTTGCCTGGGCTGGGCTTGACCTTGTAATCCTCCTGCTTCAGTTTCCCAAAGTGCTGAAATTATAAGCATTTACTATTATGTCCAGTGTATTCTTCCAATTTTATATTGAACTTCCTCATTTATGGTAGAGGTCAGACCCTTCTGACTTAATAATTTTCGTTATTGGAGACTTCTGCTCTATGTCATTGCTTTACAGACTTAAAAGTCTCTAGTTATTTTCTAAAATACTAAGGCTGATTCCTTTTACATTTAATTCTTAGTATTAGAAACAAAGCTCTGCAACATGTTAATCTCTGACTGCTGTGAGATATCAGTCATGGAGTTTCAAGGCTTCAAATGCTACCCACTGGAAACAGAGGAGGGGAAGAAGCCGAGGAAGGACCAAGTCAGAGATTAATCTGGAAAATGGCATGAGGGCACAATGACACAAAATCCTTGATTCCCATCTGAGGCCTTAGAGTAGAAAAGGGACAAAGCAGGTTGGGATTATTTCTTCTGACAAGAATTCCTAAAA